GGCGCACCAGCCCCAAAGGCTGGCGTCCGATTCCAGTACGAAATCTGGGGTTTCGCCGAATATCGCTCGGCTGTTCCAGGCCTGCATGCTGTCCAGCCACCACTGTAGTTCCTCCTTGACCTCTGCTGTAATCAGTACTGGTTGGTCGTAGGTGGGATTTCGGCGGAGGAAGGATGCCTTGAGGCGTTGCATCGCCCTGTAGTGGAGTGGACCCGGGAAGATGGCTTGGATGGATGCCGATAGGAGACCCACGATCCATGCTAGGTTGCGAAGGGAAACCGATTGGCATCTGATTGTCTTGCGGATTTCCTTCCGAATATCCGCGATCTTGGCTGTTGGCAGGCTGGAGTCGATTTCGAATCCCAGGAATTGTATGGTTTGGGACGGAGTTGTAGCCGATTTCAGGTGGTTTATCTTAAACCCTAGGGATTCTAGGTCGTGACTTGACGGAGCAGAAGATTAGAAGGTCGTCCAGGTATATAATGCAGCGTATTCCTCTTGCGCGCAGATGAGTAACCACCGGCTTCAGCAGTTTGGTGAAACACCATAGGGCCGAACTGAGGCTGAAAGGGAGGCAAGTGAACTGCCATGGTCGGTCGTTCCACGTGAAGCGGAGGAAACGTCTGCTGTCGGTGTGAATCGGTACTAATAGGTAGGCGTCTTTGAGGTCCAATCTTGTGAACCTATCGCCGTCTTGCAGGAGATCTCGTAAGAGGTGGATTCCCTCCATTTTGAAGTGGCGGTAGACCACGTGGGCGTTGAGAGACCGGAGGTTTATGACTGGTCGGAGGTCTCCTGTTTTCTTCTTTACTAAGAAGATGTTGCTGAAGAATCCTCCTGAGTCTGGTGTGGGTTCTATCGCACCCTTGTTGCGGAGTTCCTGAAGTTCGGCTTGGATGAGTTTGGAGTCCTCTCCCGAACTGTTGAGCGGTCGTGGTAGGACCTCTTGATAAGGTGTGCTGACGAACTCTATGATGTATCCCCGTACCGTCTGGAGTATCCAAGCGTCTGACGAGATGGTCGTCCAGTTCTGAAAGAAAAGGGAGAGACGACCTGCATGCAAGGTGATCGAAGGTAGATGATAGCTTACCTGGTGCGAAGCGGGATCTGCCACGTCCACGGGTACTATGTCTTCTGTCCGAACCTCTTGAGTAGGGGAAAGGTTGACGGTATCCCGTTTCTGGGTAGAAGGGTTGCGGTCTTGAGGATCGGGGGCCTGATGGCCAGAAACTGCTGGCAGCACGACCCCTGTGGCAGCCAGCCCATCCAAAAACACCCCTGGGGGGTATTGTCTGAAGACCCTCCTCATTGAGGTTTGAGGTTTACTCAATGAGGTAAAGACGTTTACGTGTCGGTTCAATTGCTTTAGAAAAGGGTCTCCAAATAATTTGTCCTGTGCCAGACGTCAGAGTTCTTTGGTGCCCAACTCCACCAACTTCCCGTCTATGTGGAGAAGTGCTGCCTTACGCCTCTCCGAAGAGAGGGCCACATTTGCGTTTCCAAGGAAACAAAAACCGCGTTGAGCCCATTCGCGGATATCGTGAGCCCATTCCCTGACCATGTCGGCATCAAATTGGTCTGCACGTTGGAAGGCATCGTCTGCCAGGTACATTATGCGAGAGAGGGGTCCGGAGGTATCTAGAAGCTTGTCTTGGACTCCTTTGAATCCTCTCTCCACCCCGCGGCGGGGGTTGGGACCACCTCTGCTCATGAAGGTAGAGATTACCTGGTAAAATTCTGGTGTCATGGCTACTTGGTCTGGTAGGGAAGGGAGGGGGCATTCCGACTTCAGTCGGTTGCGGACTATCTTGTCCATAGGTTTGCGCATCCATAGGTGCATAAACTTTGCGAGGTGTTCCGGAGGCATCCAGTCTGTCGAGCGGGGGTGCCTGATGTTTCGTGGATCAAAGAGCGTCTGGCCCATGGGGTCCAGAATAGCTTCATCCTGTGGCAGGGTGGTGTCCCCTGTCCCTTGCCATTCGGCAGCGAATGAGTCTGAATCCCCTGTGTGAAAGGGTTTTGATTCTGAGCCTCAGACGTCTTCATCGGATTGGGAGGCATTAGCCTGCCATTCATCTAATATGGCCATAGTTTCAACAATGTCTTCCTCTTCCTCTGAGGATAGCGCCTGGGTGGGAGCAGGGGTCACCGTTTTGCTTTTCTTAATGGGCTGTTTGCCCTTGCTCGGTTTGGGGTCCTTCTCCCCTTTCCAATGGTGCTTACTAGCCCGGGTGTCGTCCTTAGACTGGGATTCAGAGTCTTCAGACTCGGTGTCTGGGCGTGTGCGGCGTGGCCTGGAGCGTTCTAGTTGAATGGCCATCATATGAGATAGGGACTTTTCCATAGAAGCGGCCACCGCTGCATTTACCATGGACTGAAAGTCCACTGGAATAGACTGTGAGTCTTCCATGATAGTAAGGACTTGGCACTTGTAGGAGGGCAGTTGAGGCAGGGGTCAGCAGTAGGAGAGGATCCTACGGTAGTTATGGTACCAGCAGTACTGGATTTAACCCCAGCAGGGTAATGTTCCAGAATAGTACTAGTAGTACTAGGGCCCCAGTAGGGTAGGATAGCTCAGAAACAGTAAGTACCAGCAGTACTGAATATATCACCCCAGCAGGGTGTATTGGGTTTTGTCTGGGCAGCACCCAGTATGCAGAGATTGCAACAGCAGAGCTCTGATAGGCAGCACCTTAATGGGGCCTCACCCCAGAGTGCACAGGGTATTGAGCCCTATAGTGCACATATACCACAGGAGTAACAGAGACTTTCTGTGGGGACCCCTGCCTGGATGAGAGTAGTGTGAGTTGATAGTGGAATCTGAAACAGTAAGGGGATATGAGTGACCAATTGAGTTGTGGCACAGATGGATTGAAGTAAGAATATGCAAACAAGGTGTTAGAATAAAACAATGCTTACCTTAAAAGACCAAGCAGGTGTAGCTCTCCAACAGAGTCAGACCGAGTGGGTTAAGCTCCAAAATGGCGGCCACGGATCTCGCGAGTCGTGAGATCCAAGATGGCTGCTGTCACACTGAAAGCGTGGGAAAGTAGATCCGTGAAAACGCGTGGTTAGGCGGCCTGGGGGGACAAGGACACTGTAATACTAAGTTCCCAGCGGTGGGAGGGGGGAAAATCTGTCAAAAAACGCCCGGTGTAAATGAAAACCGGGGGGGGGGGAAGGGGAAGTAGAGTGCCTAGAACACATATAGGTACATGTGAGGGGGCCTCAGGAAAATTCCTGAGTAGAAAAATTAACCAGGCATAAAGGAATGACAGTTAAATAAAGATACACAGAAAAGGCAATAAATTACAAGCAATATAAGTATAATAAATATGTAAACATTGAATAAATATGAGGAGCTCAATATTTTGACCTGTCTGCTGATGGAGCAGTAAAGAAAGAGGGGTGGGGGGGGGGGAGCCTGTTCACTGGGAATCCCATACCTCCTACTGTTTTTATTGGTTCTTACTATCCTTTTCTTTACTGCTATGGAGTTTAGTAAAGAGAGTTATGCAAAATACGAAGCCTCCTGTCATGTAATAAAATGTAGTAGCCAGCTTAGAGATAAGCACTATGTTGTGATGGGAAAGCATATCTCTCAAGTGTCCTTATTTAGGAGGGGCAGTCCCTATATTGGGCCCAAATCACTCTGTCCCTTTTTTAGGAGCTTCATATTGTTGGTGTGTCTGAGTGTATAGCAGAGCTCTTACAGCAATAATACTCAAAGTTATATATGTTTTTAACCCCGTAAGGCAGTTGTACAAGTTCTGATAAACATAATTTAATATGAATAAAATATAAAAAATTGTGAGAAATTAAGAATTGTTTTAGTTTTGTGTGGCATAATACTTTTAGCTGTTACTGCAATAAAGTACTGCAGTAAATGTCCCTTTTACAAGCCTAGCTTGAAAGCCTCCCGTAGCACATGTTGCCACCATAGAAACTCCTAAAAAAATTATTTTTTTATCTTAGAGTTATCTTAGAGTTATCTTACATAAACTGAAGTTGACAAGAAGCAAGCACAAGGCAACACACATCTAAAAACAGAAACGAAATATTAAAGCACCTGCAATATATAGCATTCAAATAGAAAAATAAACTAAATAAGCTCGTACAGGGCCGATTTAAATGTTTTTAAACCCTAGGAAAAATTCTCTTACATGTTTCTCACATCTCTCTTCATTCTCTTTTCCCATTGTTTTTGCCTTTCTAGTTTCTCCTTCTTCCAAACTTTCTCAATGGGGTATATTTTTATCAATGCAAAAAACAGTGCTATTCTGGAGAAAAGTGCTAAAAAGGGAGCAATCAAAATGGAAACCAAAAACATTTCTCTTAATATTTATAAATATGAACACAAAGTAACTTCTGTTTTTCCTTGATAATTCTCCTTACTAGTTTCTTTTTTTAGTGCCATAGTGCCATACAGTATTTCTCTGTTAGGCTTTCTTTCTCTTCTCCATCAGTCTTTTTCATCTTCCTAGCTGACTGCTAAAACAAAAGTAAACAACATTTATAACTTTTATTAACATTGCACTAGAATAACTGAAAGATTGCAGGTGTTTACAAATGTAAAAATCCACGGACAGAGTAGTACTACTCTGATCCATGTCTACTCTTATGCTGTCCTTCAGTGCATTCAAAACCCATGCTGCAGGCAAACAAAACGTTAACATGGGGCACTGAACTTAACCCAAACATTGCCAGCAAAGCCTGCAAGGGCCCCCTCTTATTAAACAGATAACCTCGCTCATTTATTGAAGGTCAGCAAACCTTTTACTGAAACTTATCATTGCTGCACAGGGCCAGAAAGGTTAATTCCTCTGATGCCCAGTTTGGCCCTCCAGGGCAGTCAGATCTGTCCCATGCACTTAGATCAAACTGAGGACCTTCCTTTCCTTCTTCTCTTTACTGGCTGTCACCCCTTTGTTCCCACCCTCCTCTTATCTTGTTTCTCATCTCGGTGCCACTGTCATTGCTAGTCTGGTGGCAGCTTTAAACAGACAATGGCCTTATCTCCAGCAGGCTTCCATTTTTAAGGGCCCCATCAGGTAAGTAAAACCTGCATGTTCTTTAATATTTGATACAATCAAGAGGCAATGTCCTTCTTGTGGTGTGATATTATTGTGGCTATCAGAATGTTTTTTATATAAAAGTAATAAAACCGCATTGTGATATTGATGATGTTTCTACTCATAAATGTTTTGAGTCCTTGGGTGAATTGGGAAGTATTTTGCAAATCCCAGCAAGCACAGCAGAAAGGAGAGAGATTGGGTTTAATCACTAAACAGTACTTGTTGTGAACTGAACTCTGAATTGCAAAATGTTGGATAAGAAAGCCTAGTTGGGGTCATTGTACTCTCTGAGGCACTGACAAAGGCACTGCTAGCCAAATAGCTCACTGATATAGTACTGCTCCTTTTGCTTCCTTACCAAGCCTACACAACTGCACATTCTCATAAACCTTTGCTATGATGTTTCCTGTTGCGTAATAATATCAAGATGTTCATATGTTCTCTTATTGCTCGACATACCCTTTCTGCCAGCAGTCTCCCATAAAACATTATCCTTCACTTCAGACATGTCTACTACAATAATTTATTTTGGTAGATAAGATACCAAAGATCTAAGATATTACCATCTAAAGAACCATACTGTCCATTCCTATACCTCTTATATAGCTTTATTTAACTGCTCTTTTAATCCCCTCTAAGCCCTCAACAAAACTGCATGGCATCTGTTATTGCACTACATCAAGTCTCTCTTTACATGCACTGAGGTGACTGAGGAATTTCTCTCACAGAAAATGAAAGTCATTAATAGCAATGAATTGGGAATCAAAGTTATTATTATTATTATTATTATTATTGGTATTTATATAGCGCTAGCTTATTCCGCAGCGCTTTACAATAAGCTCTAAAACATCGTATTGGTGTACCACTTTTGGAATCTCCCCCGAAGCCCCCCCAAATGGTTCCCTGATAAACTCTGAATATAAAAACATTTGAAAAAGAGAACTACAAATATAACAAACAAAAATGCTGTAAGTTAAAACATGACAATGGTAAATGCTGTATTAATATACAATTGCTTATATTAATTGCATTTTCAAGCAATATATGTAACAATGGCAATTAGAGGGATACAGATTTTACATTTTGTATTAAGAAGATATTTTAACTCTTACTATCTTTCTGTAGTATTTTCAACATAATTGAAATGTATTCTCTTATTAGTTGCTTGTTTTTTAAATCTATGTAACCCTTTATGCAGCCAAAACTGGAAATGTGAGAGTGCCTAAACGTGTCACCAAACCCTTCTCCCTATGCTCTTGTCATTTCAAATGAAACTTAAAATATACTAAACAATCGAAATTCATAAAAAAAAAACTAAACAAATGTTTTAACATGTTTCCACATTAAACTGTATGCCTTAGAACAAAGACGTAGGGGAGGCATGATTGAAACCTGATAATAGACAAAAGAATTGTTGAACTTAGTAGAAAATACACATTTTTTACACAAAAAGAATGGTGAGAACAAAGAGTTCTGACGTTAGGTATGAAGAAAGTTAATCTCTTGGTCTAAAAAAAGAAGAAAAGCAGCAGAAGCACTATTGATGTATGTCCATCATAATCACGAAAGCAGCCCAAGCTTCATAATTCAGAATAATGATTTAAACACTTAGGGTTAGAAGGACAACGGTTAGAATGTTTTGGGTTTTGAGAGTGAGGGTTAGAACTAATAGAAATATGAATAGGTGTTTATGGTGAGGGAAAATTAGAGGGGATGGAGTGTAATGTTCGGATAATAAGAGTCAAAGAGTTTAGGAGGAGAATTATTATTATCAGGTGTATATGGTTTAACAATTGGCATTATTGAGTTTTGGGCTTCTGGACTTCTTGAAATACAATAAGTTGGATTAGGGCTTTAGGGTTTGGTGGATTGTGGCCAAGATAATTAGTGTTAGGGGTTTATGGGTGTTAAGAATGATTGAATAGCACTACTCCCAATCTCTCTCTACTATGAGCATAGTGGGACAAAATGGCATCTACCAGACCTCTTTTTTTTTTTACTCTGTTCAGACATCTCTCACACACAACCACTGGCCAAAAAGATACGCTGCCCAAAAGCAAAGCCACCTAACCAGACATCACCACTATCTTTGGTGATGTCCACTTGGTCAGCACTAGAGATAGATGTGAATTATAGTGGCACAGGTGGGGAGATCCTTTGATGACTAATCTGGACCTGTATATACTAGAAATATTCTCCCAGTTTCTGCCTTTGTATTGCTTTTTGTTGTTGTGTCAGGAAACTATTGATGGGTAACTGTCTGCAGGGACTGTTTTATGCCACATGAATTATTTAACAGTTAGCCACCAGTGATTAAACCCTCTTTTGTCATTTTTCCCTCCCTTTTCTTTACAATGTACTACTGTAACCTTAGTATATGGACTAAAAGCAATCAATCGAGTTATGTAGCAAAGCAAGGTAATTAACAGCACTCAAAACACCATACCCACTGCATATGGTAGTGGTTATAGTGCCACATGTATTTGAGTCTACTGGCAAAATTTGGTACATTGTTCCTCCAATGCTGTCATTTTTTTCAAAATGTTCCAATCCAAATATTCCTTGCACCATAATCACCACAATAAGCCATACTTGTTATGGTGCTTAGCGTACTCTAGAAAAACACATTGGTAGTGCAGCTATCTACAAACGTGCAGAAATATCGTACACCAGTACATACATTTACATACAATTAATTATGTATATGCGGTGCAATTACATTAAATTGCAACATGTAAACAGAATTTAGGTTTTTGCTGATGTAGATCATAGTGAAGGCATCTCAAATGGATGTGAGGGATTCAAGGTTTCTCACACAAACTACAATTTGCTTAATCAATGTAAAATACACATTTCTTGTCTACTGATTTCCATTTTACTACATAACATAGGTTTTGGTTTAAATTGTTAACATTTTTGCTTATATTTTGGATTGAAAGAGTGATTAGCTCACATTATATAATGTTACTGAAAGGCAGTCAGATAAAAAGCTAAAGCAGTTGTTCACAGCTGTGGTGTTGGTGGTATGTATGTGGCATAATTGTAGCCCAACATTACCACCATCTGTTTAAATTGCAGTACTACAAACAAATCCAAGTAAGGTGTCCATCCACACAGTAAATTGCTGCCATCTACTGGAAAATGTAAATAACTGAAACTGGCATTGGAAATAAAATGTCTGAACTCGTAAATATATATATATATATATATATATATATATATATATATATATATATATATATATATATATATATATATATATATATATATATATATAAAAAACTATAGTGTCCCTTTAAGCCTACTGTCTATTTACAACTCAATAAAAATGTATATATATTTTTAAATATTATATATATATATTTTTTTGTAAATACATTTTTATTATGTTTTTCAACAGTTATATACCAAACATTAAATGGACAGTAGGCTTAAAGGGACACTCTAGGCACCCATACCACTTTAGTCCATTGAAGTGGTCTGGGCACCAACTCCCATCACCCTTAACCCTGCGAGTGTAATTATTGCAGTTTTTATGAACTGCAATAATTACCTTGCAGGGTTAAGTCCTCCTCTAGTGGCTGTCTGCCAAACAGCCACTAGAGGGACTTCCGGCTTCTTAGACTACTAAAGGTTTATTAGCTTAATCATTGCATACATCAGTAAAGGCAAAAACGTGTATCAAAGATAATATCTAGCGATAGAATTTCATGGTATAGCATATTACTTAACAACATAACTAAAATAGCATAAGCCAGCATCATAGGGTTTAGTCGATGTCTAAATATCACGACAGTATCAAGGCGTTGTATTAATTTAATAGCCATATGTGTCAAACTGTTCTGGTATTGGTGAAATTGTAAGTTCCATCACAATCTGTCACTATAGGTCAAAGTCTAATTATGGTTCATTTGCTAGACAATAAGAGCATAGAGTGATAAGACAGCATATTTAGGAATAGTAACAGAAAGCCTATTTCTGCATAGGGTACAGAGGAAACCTAGCAAAAGCCAGCATCCTGAAACTTAACTTAGGTCGATATAGGCATCAATTTAATAATTAGGCATTATATAAGTTATGGTAGCCACTTGTGGCACAGGTTTCCTGTGATATTTGGACTGTGAGGTTCATCACTGCCTGTACACTGACTTAATGCATAATTAAGCTTATTTGTCTGTTCAGTAATAACATAGAACTGAGCAAAGCATAGTATGTTAGGTTTCAAAAGAAAGTTGTTCCCGCCTTCTAAGAAGGGGAGACATAGAAAAGGGAAAAGGGCCTACGTGAAGTCCCCTGTTAAGCACCAGTGGGAGTGTATCCCAGCGCTCCAATGGGCCTTGTGCCTTGCTGGCCTCTCCCACCTAGGGTCCACATGCCATCCATCTCCTGCACATCCCCTGCACCTTCAGGGATTCGGTGAGGAGCTTCACTCGTGGCCACCAGTATACCGCTGCTCCACACTGTCTGGCTCCACAGGGCTTGCGGCATTGGGGACAGGTCCCTCCAGGCCCCCCTCAAACCTGGAGGTTGAGGACAACATGCCTCCAGTGGGTAGACGTTCCGGGGGGCTCCTTCCGCGGGTCAGCAATCTCCCAGGGCTTATTTATCATGCATTTGCTTAGGGTCTTCCTAATTTTAAAGAGTAATCCAGATGTGAACCTCGTATTCATTGCTCCTAGGGTGTAAACAGTTACACCTTACTGATGAGGCACAAATGATGCCAAAACTGTGAATTTTTGCTGTATCACTTCTGCAAAGGTATAACTTGCCAGCATTTCAGAACTGGACTGCCTTTATGGGTAGGATCAATCTGATATGTGAATTAAAGTGATCAAAACCTGTTTGATAACTAAGCAGTAACTAACCAAAAGGTCAGGTTTTGCTTGTTCTCCGTGCTCTCATATTCTGTTTTTCTTTAATGTTGTTTAATTGTGTTCAGCCCAAGCTAATCAGATATACTTCCCAAATGACTTGTCTCTCCTGTCTGTCATAATGTCCAACTTTTCTATCACTAATAAAACTCCTATTAATGTATATATATCCCCTTTCTGACGTTAGGTTGTTTCGTGCTGTCCTACACAGAGTGGACTTAAATGTCTGTATTATGGTATGGAATGCCCCACAGGGTTGGTATGAGCAGGGTTAAATCGATGGATACTTGAGGCGCCCCTCATTCAGCTGGGGCAGTTTTTAGTGGACCCAGACTTTTTAATGAGCTGACTAAAGCGCTGAAAGTCATTGCGGCAAGCAGCTCTTTAAATAAGCATATAAGTGCCTTTGAAGAGCTTGTGGTGTGAGCAGGGTTAAACCCCTGTTCACACCAGGAGCCACAGGTATCAATGGAACCCTGGGGCTCCCCTCTCTCGGCTGGAGACATTTTTAGTGTCACTAGACTGACCAATGTGCTTTAAGCATCTCTGAATTTCATTGCTGATTTAGAGCCCTTTAAATCCATTCATAAACCGATCATTCAGCTTTGATTTTTCATGGTTGCTGGCTTCCTCAAGCAGACCTCCCAGGGCCGAGCACAATCACAGTGTAATTATTATTATTATTATTGCCATTTATATAGCGCCAACAGATTCTGTAGCGCTTTACAATATTACGAGAGGGGGGAATTTAACTATAAATAGGACAATTACAAGAAAACATACAGGAACGATAGGTTGAAGAGGACCCTGCTCAAACGAACTCCCATTCTATAGGAAGTGGGGTATAAAACACATTAGGACAGGAAATAGCAATAAAATATGGTGGGAGTGAAGCAGAGCTGGAGGAGAGAACAAGAGACAGGGAGGCCATAAGCTTTCTGGGAGGCCATAAGCTTTCCTAAAGAGATGGGTTTTAAGGCACTTCTTAAACGATTGAAGACTAGGAGAGATGGTGGTAGGCAGGCTATTCTATAGGAAGGGAGCCGCTGGCGAGAAGTCCTGCAAGCGTGAGTTGGCTGTACGGGTGCGAGCAGCGAACAGGAGAAGGTCACGGGCAGAGTGGAGAGACCGAGAAGGAGCATACCTATGGATCTGTGAAGAGATATAAGAGGGGCTAGAATTGTTCAGTGCTTTATATGTATGGGTTAGCACTTTGAATTGACTCCTATAGGATACAGGAAGACAATGTTAGGACTGACAGAGGGGTGAGGTGTGAGAGGACCGATTAGAGAGGAAAATCATTCTGGTGGCAGGATTCATTACAGACTGTAGTGGGGCAACACAGCTTTTGGGAAAACCAATTAGGAGAGGGTTACAATAATCCAAGCGGGAAATTACTAGAGCATAAACAAGCTCCTTGGTAGCATCTTGCGTAAGAAAGGGGCGGATGCAGGCTATGTTTTTAAGATGGAATCTACAGGATTTGGCAACGTACTGGATGTGAAGCTCAAAGGTGAGGCAAGAATCAAGTATGACCCAAGACAGTGCGCTAGCAAGGATGGTGGATACCACTAATTTGAAGGGAGAGCGAAAGAGGAGGATCAGTATTAGGAGGAGGAAAGACAAGGAGCTCAGTTTTAGAGAGATTGAGTTTCAGAAAGCGGGAGGACATCCAGTCAGAAATGGAAGAAAGGCAAGCAGTGACACGTTGCAGGATGGCAGAGGAGAGATATATTTTGGTGTCATCAGCATACAGGTGGTAGTGGAATCCAAAAGAGGTAAGTATAAAGAGAAAATAGAAGGGGACCAAGGACAGAGCCTTGGGGGACTACAACCGAGTCAGGATGAGGGGAGGAGGTATCATTAGAAAAGGAGATGCTGAATGAGGGTTGGGAGAGATAAGAGGAAAATCACGAGAGGGCAGAGTCACAGAGACCGAGTGATTGAAGGAGAACATGATCAACACTGTCAAAGGCAGCAGAGAGGTCAAGAAGAATTAGTATGGAGTAGTGGTTTTTGGATTTAGGTGCGATTAGGTTGCTAGTAACTTTGATAAGAGCAGTCTCAGTAGAGTGGAGAGGGTGGAAGCTAGATTGAAGAGGGTCAAGGAGAGAGTTGGAATTGAGGAAGTGAGCCACACGGGTAAAGACAAGTCTTTCCAGAAGCTTTGAGGAGAAAGGGAGCAGAGATATGGGACGATAGTTAGATGGGGAGGACAGGTCAATAGATGGCCCGTTCATAATTACAACAAATGTAATAATGAAAACAACCAATAGATGGCAGTCTTTCTCTACTGTTTTAACCCATTTTCTAATATCAGAATTGATATAATCAGATGGTTTCCTTAGGGTTGGGGCTAGTTGTGGGGTTAGGGTTAGGATTATGGTAGGGCTAGGGTTAGATTTTGTTGTAAGAGTAAGGTACAGTTAGTGTTAGGGTATGGTTAGGGTTTGCTGTAAGTTTAGTGTAGTATTAGAGTAAGGCAAGGGTTAATGCTTGGTTTGGGTTTATGCTGTTTTAGAGTTAAGAGATTGAGTAGGGTTAAGGGTAAAATTAGGTATACTGTTAGAGTTAATGTAAACATTGGGTAAGGGATATGGCTGGAATAGCGTTATTTTGGGAATTCATATAGGGTTAGAAATAACTACTAAAAATTAATTTAGATCCTAGACATATTAGGAATTTAACAATCAGGACTGATATATGAATCTATTTTGAGGTTTTTGTTTTTCATTTAGTTGCACTAGATGTGTAAAAACAATTATAAGTATACATGAAAAACTAAATTCAGCATTTTTTCCCCATTTTTAACATTTTACTTCCACATAATGTTGTGTTAGGTATACATAATAATAAAATACCTGTCTGTCCTTTATAAAACAATATATAATTTGTATGGGGCACTTGAAGAGAAACCCTTAAATCATGATGAAAAAAACCTTTAGTTTAAATTTAAGCTTTTGTTTTTTTTTCAGAACTTGGACATCTGCCTCCGTTCCCTTCAAACATGCAACCGTAACCCCAATTCTCAAAAAGCCCATCCTTGATCCCAACTCCCCACCCAACTACCGCCCTATCTCACTACTGCCATTTGCCTCCAAGATCCTCGAGAGAGTTGTGTACGCCAGATTGACAGACTTTCTCGAATCCAACTCTCTGCTTGACCCCCTTCAGTCTGGATTCCGCGCTGGTCACTCTGTCGAAACTGCTGTGACCAAAGTATCCAATGATTTAATTGCTGCTAAATCTCGCGGCCAATACTCTATCCTAATCCTCCTTGATCTTTCTGCCGCCTTTGACACTGTTGATCATCAACAGCTTCTTCACATTCTCCGTAACTTTGGTCTATGGGATACTTCTCTTTCCTGGTGCTCCTCCTACCTCTCCCAGCGCTCTTTCAGTGTTTCTTTCTCTGGCTCTGCCTCTTCTCCCCAACCCCTCTCTGTCGGTGTCCCCCAAGGTTCTGTCCTCGGCCCCCTATTGTTCTCTATCTATACTGCCTCCCTTGGTAAACTCATCAGCTCCTTTAGCTTCCAATATCATTTATATGCAGATGACACGCAAATCTACCTGTCCTCCCCTGATCTCTCTCCGCCCACCTTGACTCGTGTTTCTGACTGCCTCTCTACTATTTCCAACTGGATGGCTGCTCACTTCCTTAAACTCAACCTGTCCAAAACAGAACTTCTAGTTTTTCCTCCCTCAAGTGCTGCTACTCCTGTGTCTGTCTCCATCCAAGTCAACGGCGCTACTATCACCTCTACCTCGCAGGCTCGCTGCCTAGGGGTTCTTTTTGATTCTGATCTCTCTTTTACTCCCCATGTCCAATCGATAGCCAAATCCTGTCGCTTCCAACTCAAGAACATAGCGCATATCCGCCCATATCTAACGCTGGACGCGGCTATGGTACTGGTTCATGCTGTTGTTCTCTCTCGCCTTGACTACTGCAATCCCCTTCTCACCAGTCTTACATGTTCCCAGCTTGCACCACTGCAATCTATAATGAATGCGGCTGCGAGGCTTATTTTCCTGTTCGGTCGCACCTCCCACGCCTCCAAACTCTGTCAGTCCCTGCATTGGCTTCTAGTTAGATATAGGGCCCAATTCAAAATTCTGGCGCTTGCTTACAAATCCCTACATAATGCTGCTCCAACATACCTATCCTCCCTCATACATAAGTATGTCCTGTCGAGACCCCTGCCTAAGACCTACGCCTATCCTCTGCCCGGATCCCCACCTCTGATGCTCACCTTCAGGACTTCTCCAGGGCTGCACCTATGCTATGGAACTCCCTTCCCTCCTCAATCAGACTTTCACCCAGCCTCCACTCCTTCACAAAATCTTTGAAAACTCACTTCTTCATTAAAGCGTATCAATTAAACTGTCAGCAGGTTTCTCATCCCCCACCCCATGACACCTTTCCTGCAACTGTCAAAAATGACCTACCAAGCACTCAATAAACCCTTCTGTAACAAACTATTTAATTCCCGTACTTTAACCCTTTGTGTCACTATACCCCACTCCCTCTAGCATGTAAGCTCATCGAGCAGGGCCCTCAACCCCCTCTGTTCCTGTATGTCCAGTGGTCTGATCTCAATTATGTGTCTGTTAGTCCACCCATTGTACACCTCTACGTAATTTGTTGATGCTATATAAATAATAATAATCTGTCAAAGTTAAAGTAAAATTTCCCTGCTTTAATAAAATAGAGTGATCTAGAGTGATCAATTGGCAGGGACTTCATTTTACTGTAATTTGATTTTTTTTTTAACCCCTGAAGGTTAACTTTTATTTTTCTTAACCCTCAGGGGTTAAATGTATTTTATTAATTAATTTAAATATTTTAAAATTGTATATTTAGCTAGCTGGGGTGGGTGAAAGTTAGTGGTGAATTGGGGAATTTGGAGTTAGGCAAATGTAAAAAGTAAAAAGTAAAAAGTGTCAAAATAACCTTAGGTAAATAACCTGTGATGTCTACTTTATATAAATATATACTTTTCTGTGGCAATTTTGTTTTCTGTGATGGCTACTAAACTTACAAGACAAACATAACAACTTCTAAAATTGTTTAACATTGAAATATTATTTTAGTTCTTGTATTTTTCTGTCCTGTAACTTTCAAAATAAGCTGAAATCCTACACATATTATGTAGTCTAAAAATCGAGACACATAAATGAATTTATTTTGAATTACTTTTCGTAAGCTGGACATATTATGCACACGCTATTATTGCCAAAACTGTCAAAAAAATTAGGTTTTTTTTGTTTGTTTTTTTCAATGAGAATTTATCTATGTACATGTGACATCAAATTAAAGCCCCTTTTGCCCTCTAAAAAACGGTATATAATATGTGTTGGTGCAAAAAATGACAGAGGTGCAAATTGTGTTTGAACACAAAGCAAAAAATAAATAAAAATGGTTTATGTCCTTAAGGGTAAGACAAGCTTTTAAAGCTGTGTCCTTAAGGGGTTAAGGGGTTAAACTGTGATGAATGTTTTTAAAAATCACCCTGTGTAAATAAGATGCATTGTTCTTGTTCTAAATTACGTTTTACTTGAAAAAAGCTATTATTAGTAAGGTAACCAAAAATTCTCAAAACAGCACCACCCCTGGCCACATCCCTCACTCACTTGGCTAAAATTAAAGTGTCCTTACTCCATTTGAAATGTAGGTAAGTTTGATTTAGTACAGACACAATGTATTCATCAGAGGTGTAATGCTCTTCCTTCCCAGTGCCCCTTGGTTGGGTTGGAGATGATGGTAATACTGTGGGGAATGGTACGTTTAGAGTAAGTATGTGAGCACTCTGCTTATATTTTAAATGGACAAAAAGGGACGCTGTAGATTTATGAGTGTGATTGGGGGTTAAATTAGGGACAGAGCTGTTCTGAGAGATATTAAAGGATCACTATAGTGTCAGGAAAACTAAGCGGTTTTCCTGACACTATAGTGCCCTGAGGGTGCCCCCACCCTCAGGGTCCCCCTCCCGCTGGGCTGAAGGGGTTAAAAGCCCTTCAGTTACTTACCTTTTTCCAGCGCCGGGCTCCCTCGGCACTGGTGAACTCTCCTCCCCACCGACGTCAGCTCCCTCTGCCGACTTCAGCGGAGCCAAATGCGCATGCGCTGCAAGTGCTGCGCGCACATTCAAGCTGTCAATAGGAAAGCCTTTTTAAATGCTTTTCTATGGACGCTCTGCGTGATGGAGGCATAATATGCCTCCAGCATCGTAGAGGCTGGCTTAACCCCAAATGTAAACATAACAGTTTCTCTGAAACTGCTATGTTTGCATCTTCAGTATTAAAACCTGAGGGACCTGGCACCCAGACCACTTCATTGAGCTGAAGTGGTCTGGGTGACTATAGTGTCCCTTTAAGTAACTTGCCAATAACAATGTATGGAAGTAAAACATAATTTGGAACAAGAGCAATGTGTTTTATCTACACAGACACATTTCTAAACACAGTTATTGTAATTTAAAGACTCATTACCGTAAGTATTATTGATGTGGAGCACCCCGAAAATAAAGATATTAGGATAGAAAATAGGGGATGTCCCTCCTAAATAGGGACAGTTGGAAGATATGGTTGAGGAGATGTTGATACTGGTGTGGGAAAGTTAGAATAAAGTATTTTATATTATTCTAGGTTCTACTTTTGTGTGGCAGCTGATTTTTTTCACTCTTGTCTGTGAATTGCCCATTTATTATAATTAGGCACTAGTGATTATTACTAAAAGTGCCAAACCTTCGCCTCATGTGCCAGCAGAGAGGCCTCTGCCTGCCTGTGGATGGATGATATCAACGCACTATTAAAGAGATACTGAACGAATCAATACAACTTCAATGCATTTGATTTTGTTTGGTTTTGACCACATTAATATGCTGTATTTTTTTTCATGCTTAGACCTTTATAGTATTTGCACACAAAAAATTAATGTTTGCAGAAATATGTTCCAGAAGCCTTTTTCTTTAGCTATGTCCCCTCACGCCAAAAAGCCTTCTTCATCGGTGAATGTACTCAGCTCTTCCCCTAACAGCAACCAAGTGAGCTATTTTTAAAACAACACTCTAATCACAATTACATCTGCAGCTATCTATATTGGTAATTATACATTATAAGGAGTCAAATAATGTTTTAACAGTTTGACTTCTTACTTCGGGTCCTAAGCAGGGCTTAGCTCATTGGCAGAGAGCATACCTGGAACACTCCTTGTGCATGAATGTCTATTTTTTTTTTTTTTGGTTTACGTAGTGATACCGGTCACAAAACTGCAGTCTATGCTTCCCAGATCAAAATAGAAATGTATGCTATGATAAAATAAATTATTATCATGCTTAATAAGCTAATATATGTAATTTTCAGCTTCAACTTCTCATTTTTACAGGTGGAATTTCAACCCTGGATTCCAGCTAACACTGTTTACATTAGGCTCAGGCATCATTGGGTGCTGAGGAGCAGAATTTGGGGGCCAATATGCAGAGAGGAGAGGTACAAATCAGGGGTGTGCACCCTTACCAAAAGGAAGAGCAACTGCTAGTTTGGTATGATGGGCTGTCCTGCAGCATCTTAGGATTCCAAGAGCTCCGAGATGGCCTTTCCACCGAAGGTGAGTAAATCGTTTGTTCCTAGTTAATCCTAGGGATGGACCAATGTTTATATATCAACAGAAATGTCAAATTGTAGTTTAATATATTGTTATATGACCAAATATGGTAATTTATCTCCTGATGCACAGTTAAGGCAGTGATATATTGTTATACAAAACTAATACAATGGATTGCATTATGCCACCTTTGGCTTTTAACCCACTGTCTAGCTGTTCATAAGGGAGTTTAGACAGTGATAACAAGAGGTACACTATTGTGATCATACCAACATTATGCCTTGGAATTTCCTGGTTAGGGTGCCAACCTCATGAAATAAATATTTAAATATTAACAAGCAGCCAGACAGGTCACAGAGATGTGACCCTTCAGGTCATATCCAAAGATCCAGTAGGAATAAGTGTGAATAAGTGAGAATACCTTATTCACCTGCAGGGTCAAAGAAAACAAACAGCTTGATAACATATTCATGCTTTTTTTCAAATTCAGTCTTTGGAATGTTGGAGTAATAATACAATGGCCCAATTCTCTGGTTGGCTCCTGTGCCTCCTGTCAAAAATAAATGCACCAGGAGATGTCAGTCCCCTGGTCTAGGTGCACTTAAACTAATGTAATGGGAAATGAATAGTCAACTCCTTTATTTGGAACACATTGCTATGTATCAAAGGGTCAGGGAAGAGCAGCCATCTTATCACCACATATTGGTTTTGACTACCCTTTGAGGACTAAAACAATTATTTTCATTTCATGCTTACTTGTGATTTGTTGACAGGGCACAGAAAACAAAGGTGACAGGGCACAGAAAACAAATTAAAGGACCACTATCGGCACCCAGACCACTTCAGCTTAATGAGGTGGTCTGGGTGCCTGGTCCAGCTAGGTTTAACCCTTTTTTCTATAAACATAGCAGTTTCAGAGAAACTGCTATGTTTATGTTAGGGTTAATCCAGCCTCTAGTTGCTGTCTCATTGACAGCCGCTAGAGGGCTTCCGCGCTTCTCACTGTGATTTTCACAGTGAGAAGACGCCAGCGTCCATAGGAAAGCATTGTGAATGCTTTCCTATGGATTGGCTGAATGCGCGCGCAGCTCCTGCCGCGCATGCGCATTCAGCCGAAGAGGAGGCGAGGAGGTGGAGAGAAGGAGAGCTCCCCGCCCAGCGCTGGAGAAAGAGGTAAGTTTAGCACCTTCCTCCCCCCAGAGCCCTGCGGGAGGGGGACCCTGAGGGTGTGGGCACCCTCAGGGCACTATAGTGCCAGGAAAACTAATATGTTTTCCTTGTACTATAGTGGTCCTTTAAAGGCAAGTATGGGTAGAAACAAAAGTTTATTAAATAGTTTGCCCTTCTGTGCATAATCATGCTGTCTCCTACAGGTTTTAGTTCACGTGTAGCGATAGCAACAACATATATATATTTGTTTCAGGCTTCATCGGTAGTAATCATTGAGGTAACACAGTGGGCATTTTCCATGTCTGAATAACCATTTTGACTTAGTCATATGCTGATTTGCTAAGGTGTCTCTAGTGCAAAGGGAACTAGTCAGCATTTCAGATATGGACTGCCCTTGTGGGTGCGATCAGTCTGATATATGAATGACTAAAGTTTGATTTGAAAAATGTGCATAACAAGTGTTGCTCACTGTACATCAAAGGGCAAGCTATTTCACGTGTCCTCTAAACATATTGTTCATGTTTTGGTAATGTTTGGAACAATGGCTAGTGTGCAAACAATGTATCCTGGATCAGTGGTGTATTCTGGTTTTGTGCTGCCCTAGGCATGACAAAACTTGGGCCCCCCTCCAAATATCTCTTACTGATAGACACAGGCACTCACTGATACATGACCTGACATACACTGACTTACAGATGCACAGTCATAGTAACACAAACTGTTTAACCAACACACACTTTTACTGAAACATACACATTCACAGAAATACACACACACTCATTCACAGTTACACACACACACATTCACGACAGACACATATATACACTAACTGACAGACATGCATTCACCGACAGACACATACATACTCATTGACAAGGCACACATGCACACTCACTGACAGAAATGCATACACACTCAGTGTCAGACACACACACACACTGGGACACACTCACTGACGATTACACACTGACAAACACATATACAACACTCACTGACAGACATATATGTACTCAGTGTCAGACACACACATTGACTGACAGACACACATACACTAGCTGACCGACACACTGACAGACATACACATTCACTGACAGACACACATACGCACACTAACACACATGCATACACACACATTGATAGACACTGATACACACACACTAACACATGCTGAAACACGCATACGTACACTGACATACACACTCAGTGACAGATACACACACTGAGAGACACACATACACACTCATTGACAAACACGTATACACTATCACTGACAAACACACATACACACACACTGACAAACACATATACACTCTAATTGACAGACACACTCTCACTAACAGACACACATTAACTCTCACTAAAAGACACACACTAACACTCACTAACAGACACACACTAACACATTCTCAGTAGCAGACACATATTAACACACTCACTAACAGCACACATACACTCTTGCTAACAGACACACACTAACACTCACTAACAGACACACACTAACACTCACTAACAGACACACACACTCTCACTAACAGACACACACTGACACACACACACTAACACTCACTAACAGTCACACACTAAGACACTAAGAGACAAATACAGAAACAGAAACACTGACGCACACTGACACACACACTAACACACTCAATAACAGACACACACACACACTAAGAGACAAATACACTAACACACTCACTAACAGACACACACACACTAACACACTCACTAACAAACACACACACAATTTAAAATAAAAAAAATTCAAGCTCAATCCACCCATCCTCCATACCTTTAGGAGTGCTGGAGTGGATTCTTCCCTGTCGTCCAGTGGGGCTGACTGCAGCTTGGCGGGCGGTCGGGCAGGCACTCAGGCACAGAGTGGAGGCGGGCCATGAGGGAGCAGTGATCTTCCCTGCTCAGCTCCCTCGCGTGCCTTTTAGTGATGCCAGAGTGACGACATATTCCGGCTCTGGCATCACTGAGGTGCGCGCGAGGGAGCTGAGCTGGGAAGAGCTCAGGGGAGAGTACTCCCTCGCCACCCACCTCCCACATAAGGTAGATGCCAGCCTGTGGGGGGGGGGTCGCCCTGAGGTGGCAAGCCAGCTCTTGGAGCCCCCAAGGACAAGAGGCTGGCAAAGCATTTGCCAGGGCGTTTGGGGAGCGACTTTTTTGCCGTCCCCCTGAAAGTGCCGCCCAAGGCAAATGCCTTGTCAGCCTCGCGGTAAATACACTGCTGTCCTGGATAACTGGATAGTGTAAATTTAAAATTTTTGATGTGCTTAAAAGGCTAGTGCAGTCTGGCAAAATATGTTTTTCGTGATACATTTTTTTTTTTTTTGTATTGGTTGACAATGGATATCACTACGAAAAAGTAATTTCATGTCAAATACACTTGTTTTTTTACTCTAAGAAGGGGAAGGAAAATATGTGAAGAATGCCCCACAGTAAAAAAACATGTACAAAGTACACTGATTGGCCACAACATTAAAACTACCAACAGGTAAAGTGAATAACATTGATTATATCATTAAAAACAGCATCTGTCAGAGGGTGGGATAATATTAGACAGCAAATTATGAATTTCATGTGTTGGAAGCAGGAAAAATAGGCAAACGAAACGATCTTTGACAAGGGACAAATAGTGATGGCTAGATGACTGGTTTAGAGCATCTCTCAAACAACAAGTTTAGTTTGCAACCAAAAGTGGTGCAAAATAGGACAACCAGTGAACCAGCATCAGAGTCATGGGCGCCCAAAGCTTATTGATGCACGTGGGAAGTGAAGGCTAGCCCGTCTAGTCCTCTAGCTCAAATTGATGAAAATTCTGTTCATGATAGAAACAGTGCAAGGCAGTTTGATGCATATGGGATTGCATGGCTGCAGACCAGTCATATTGCCCATGATGGCCCCTGTCCACCGCCAAAAGCACCTCTAATAGGGACTTGAGCATCAGAACTGGACCATGGAGCAATGAAGGAAGGTTGCCTGGTCTGATGAATTATGTTTTCTTTTAGATCAGGTAGATTTCGATTGTGTCTGCGTCATTTACCTGGGAAAGAGATGGCAGCAGGATGCACTATAAGAAAGAAGGCCAGCGGAGGAAGTGTTATGCTCTGGGGAATGTTCTGCTGGAAAAGTTTGGGTCCTGACAATCATGTGGCAGTTATTTTGTCATACACTACGTACCTAGAGATTATTGCAGACCATGTACATCCCTTCATGAAAATGGTGTTCTCTGATGGCAGAGACCTCTTCATGCAGGGTAATGCCACACTACAACAATTGTTCAGGAATGATTTAAGAAACATGAGTTCATGGTGTTGCCTGGGTCTTCAAACTCAATTGATTGAGCCTCTGTGGTATATTCTTGAACAACAAATCTGATCCATGGAGGTCCCACCTCGCAACTTTCAGAATTTAAAGGATATGCTGCTAATATCTTGGTGCCAAATAATACAGAGCACTTTAAAAGATATTGTGAAGTCTTTTCCTCGCATGCATCAGAGCTGTTTTGGCAGCACAAGGTGTAACTACACGAAACAGGTGGTTTAAATGTTGTGGCTAATCGGTGTTGACTAGTTCAAGATGAAACATTTGGGGCAGAACCTTACTATTTTCTGGATGCAAGCATATGGCTTAGTTCACTGAAATCTGTTGTTTTTCATTTGTAGGATTCCAGTGCCCAGAATGTGAAAAGGAGTTTCAAGGCAAGTTGTCTTTCCTGTCTCATACTTGCTTCCTGCTCCCCAAAGGAAAGGATGGTACAACTGTCAAACTCATGAGGCGTGGCACCAATTTTCACAGCCTGGCACATGACATGGAGATTGCAGGTGATGAAGCCCTAAAATCTATACTACTGGAGAAGACAAACTGCTTGGATGAGGCATTTACTTCCAACAAGAGAGACGAAGGATTCATAGTCAGTGTGGTCTCAAGTAGCAGAAGTACCGCAAAGAGGCTCCTGAAGGCGGAACAAAGGCAGAGTGCATTTTCAGAATTCCAAGGAGTAAAACGTGTTTTAAACACAGAGAAAGATGGCAGAGATACAGCAGGAAGTGCCTTCTCACCAGTTCCCGCCAGACGAAAGATGACCTGTAGAAGTGATGCACAGTGCTTCTGTGATATATTTAGTGGTGTCACAGAGATGAGAATGATGGATTTCTGCAATAATTTTTCTTCTCCCTATGAATATTTATCATTATCCAATTCTTGTTCCAGTCATCCACTTCCTGAAGTGAGGCAAAAACCTGAAGTGGTCACCCAGACAAATTCTCCCCAGCTGCTGCCACCAACGTTCACTCCTCTGGGTGTCACAGCACAGAACTGGTGTGCAAAGTGCAGACTCTCATTTAGCATGACCTCTGATCTTGTACTTCATATGAGGTCACGCCACAAGAGGGAGGCTGGGGTAGAGACACAGCGCAAGAGGAGGAGAGAATTACAGCTGTCCTGTCCTGTCTGTTATGCTTGCTTTAGGGAACGTCATCACTTGTCTCGTCACATGACCTCACACTGCTGACAGGATGCCCTTTGAATCTCTAATCCCATCATATAATTTCACATTTGTATATCAGCCAAAGTTGTTTCTTTTTCTTAACTGAAGCTCAGCAAATTGGATTGCCTCATTGTTGACTAGTGGTGTCTTGGCTAGGGGAAGAGGTGTTACTTCAATTGTATTGTGCTTGCAATTGCTCATACAATATGTTAATAAGTGATGGCTCAGACAATATGCAGACAAACCTCAACACAGCATGTTTTACCTAATTCCACTCTTTGCTCTATTAAGTTCTTTTTAGTAAATGCTAGTGTATTGGAAAGATCTGAGTAATGTGGATTGGTGTTTTTGATGTACTTCTTTCTACATCAAATATGCTTCTATTCTGTTATAATTGAAGGTACATTTTGCTGGCCGTTCCTCCACGATTAAAAGCAGTTTGCCTTCCTCTGAGATTAATGTTTAAAATACACTGTCATGTTTGTATTGTTAATGTTTTATAATGTGTTCATCTAATCACATATTATTTATGTAAAGCTTTTATTAAAAAGCAAGAAGTGTATATAAAGACCAACTTACCTCTGCCAACTGGTTTATTTTAAATAATCAATTTTCAAAGTTTCTAGCTCCTTAAATAAATTTGCTGTGTTTTCCTATGATTTTTATGTAATTTCCTTTGTTACAATTTCATCTTTTACATGATCTTACCTATTCCTGAATATTCCATTAACACGTAGGCTTTAAGGTCACATCCACTGCAAAGGGGAATCATTTTAAGACAAAGGAACACAATTGCTTAGTAATACATATTTGTATTCCTAACGCTACCGTCCAGTTGCCCTTTGTCAATTAGGCCTCTACCAACTTTGAAAATAAACAAACAAACAAAATAAATAACAAATAGACAAATTACTCATCTTTTCTCCAGGGCCAAATCTCCCTCGGCACTGCCACAATCCTCTCCTCACTGGCCAATGATGGGCCAATCCAATGTTCCTCATAGAGGAGCTTTTAGAGAATGCAGGCGCATGCACAGTGCTTGTCGCAATGCGCCTATGATTCCTCTATAGAAAATCAATGTACTTAATGGTTCTCACTGGTGAACATGACGGCACTGTGTGTTACGGTACGAGAGTCAGGAAGTAAGATTCACGGCTCTCATATCCAGAGGGCTTGGAAGCATGGCTTCAAGCCCTGCTTCCAATTCCAAACCTTCTAATTAGCTTACTTTAATATTGGGTTTTTGCAGTAGAACAGGGTGGCCAGCAGTGATGGCACTATAAAAGCTTCAATGAGATGAAGCTGTTAAAGTGACTACAGTGTTCCTTTAAGATGAGACAAAATTGGCTTCAGTAGAAAAAAAAGATATAATTTTTTTGAGTTTGGCAAAAATTATTAGACTCACAGAAAAGTGAGTGACGAGAGATTGCAACTTAATTGAAGTCTGGAGAAAAGGGTGATGAAGCAACAGAGAGGAAGATATGTATTGAAGACTCTGAATACTTAGAGAGTTCTGTAGCTGACAGAATAAGAATATGAAGAAACGGGATTTAAACATAGATGGAAACTTCATGGATTTCAACCCAGTGACCTCTGATTGGAACCATCTCCTTATATATGTGTGTTCTAGGGTATTAATGCATTGGGCTGTTACAATCATCCAAGTCATATCATTTAACCAGCAAGCACTGAGAAAAAAGTTTCTATATATCTGTGTAAATATTGGTGAAAGTACTCACTTTAGGATGAAGATGGACACTCAACTTGATTGAAGGACACAATCACTTACCATATTTCACAATGTTTTGACCAATATGTACATGAAGCAAAATGCTAAATTTAAGTGAGTAAATAATCAAATTCAACAGTTTCATTTTAGTTCTTGTCTAGATTTTGAAGCTATCGTGAAATTAACAGCCTAAAATGATGTTGGTATTTATGGTGTGCTATTTGTCACCATATTAATATATTATATATACAGTACCAGGCAAAATATTTCTAATAGAGCGTTTTATTTTAAAAAAACAAAGATGTGCTCCACATCACTTCCAGAAAAGTTTATTACAAATAGCTTTTTTGTTCTGGGCTGTTCTCCAGATGTTTTTCAATGTTAGATATCTATTAAATAGCAGGTAAATAGGAAATGAGCAAGATAAGTATAGTATTCGAAACACGAGGGACTGATAATTACAATGTCATATAACAGATTACATAGGAGGAAACATAATGACCATTGTTCACCAGTGGAACCAAACCATGGTGCATTGTACAGCACATCAAATAGTGAAACACAGAACAGTATTTAACCATATAGTAAAGTAATATGTACAACAAGCAATTGAAATGCCCCATTTGTACCGGTATGTGATATTAAAAGGAAATAATACCATGAAAAATTTAAATGAATTTGAACTTGATAAAAGTGTTGTTTTTCCACTAGTCTATTATGTTGTATGCAGTTCCCATACCAATGAGTGCTTATTTTTGCAATAATACACTGGATAATGAAGGTGCTGATTACAATGCGATAAGTGAATTTTAAGCCATTGAGAACGCAGTTGGAGAAAAGTATTCTTACCATTGCCACTTAGTAACCAGGACAGTATGTTACAGGTTATGCAGAACATCGAAGGTACAGCAGCAAATATTAAATCCCAAAGGATAAAATAATGGTGGATTGGCGCTAATTGTGCAGAAAAGAGTACAACTACCCCTAGTACCACAAATCACTCTAAATGGCATAACATACAATACATACAAAATAGTGAATGAAGGGGGGTGCAATTATACAAATCACATATAAAATATATCCTTATTAGTGTGAAGCCTCTTGATCTTTCTGAAAAAATAACAAAACAGAGCTCATAGCATAATACTGTTATTTAAACCATACAGATCTTATTGCAGAGGTAATAGGTAACTCACACTTTCCAGAGCCCTATATAGCAGGCTCTGGCTTAGATGGCAGGTGAATAATAAGCTTATTCAAGCTGTGCAGATATCTCCTTCTCCGGTACCCCAGACAGTATAATGATGTCCACAGCAAATGCAGATAAAATAGCGTCACTGGATACAACTGGATAAAAAAGTGTACAATAACAGGCACACGAAAAAAAATACTACAGTAAGTCTGAGATCATCCATTGTGCATTTCTAGACTTTGCTATACCAAGGTTGTGGAGAGGGGTATATTGGGTGATAGGAGACATTCTACAAGAACTATTGGAACAAAGTAGAGATTTCTTGTTATTGTACTATTATTTGTTACAAGTAATGCTACCACTAAAGCTTCAACCTATGGTGTGTGTTTGTGTGTGTGTGGGGGGGGGGGTCTCAGTGAAATTAATGGGTTCATATATAAATGAAAATAGCACCTGCAGACGACAAAAAGCTGGTGGCAAATTATTATATATTATTCTCAGTTTATTTCGGTGTAAAATTGTGCAAAAAAATTCAGAGACTTGAAAAAAATACAGTTGACATTGATGCTGTGAGTTTAGGAAATATGAATGGTTTGTCCATCAGGACTGATTACATGCACAATGCTCACACCTCACATCATATTGGAATACCAATACATAATGATGGTGGTGGATATATCGATCCTCAAAAAGATCAACCATTATTTTTTACATTATTTCCAGTTCTCATATTTCAGGAATTCTATAATTGTTTAGCTGTACCACCATCACTGTTGCAAATAATTTAGTATCTGCAAATAAATTTAAAAAATGGGTCCATAGTTTGTTATTTCAGTTGGCAATTTACCCTGTTTTAATATGGAGAGGACATTAACCCTGGTAATTTCAGATGGAAACTCACCTTTTTGCGCAATACTTCTAAATGTTAGAGTCAAAATATCAACAATATTGGGGTAAAGTAGTTAGTGAAGTCATGTGGTTCAGGGGATTTATATATCTCTAATCTGGAAATAGCTTTCATAATTTCATCCCTCACAATAGGTTTGTCCAGCATGTCTCATTAAGTAGTATAAATAATCGATCGCTCAGAACAGAACTTGTCTACTAGTCTAGAATCTCCTTATGCATCCTTGAGTCGATATTATATCGTTTTTTTTTTTATAATACGCATTAAAATGTGTGCCTATATCTGATAGATTCATATAAATATTATGTTTATCCACCAATTTGTGGACACAATTACTAGTATGTGCTTTTCTTAGTTTTCTGTATAGGATCTTATTAGCTCTGTTACTCCTAAAATAGTTATTCCATGTTTTTGATTGAACTTTCAATTAATTTATGTTTAATTAGTTATTGAATAGCAGCTAATTTGATTAACTTATTTTGAGAAGGTTGCTTTTTGTTTTCTCTAAAAAGATTATATTAGTTGAGGTGTAAGATATTTTAGCACCCTGAGCTCTTTTTTAGTCTGCTGTTCAGTTTAATGAAATACCCCCTCATGATTGCTTTAAAGGTACCATGTTATAGTCGGTGAAGAATCATAGTGGTAATTTTCCTAAAAAAATACATCAACCATCTCTGCTATAAATTTGGGGTTATCCTATTATTCAGCCAAACATTGTTAAACTTCCAAGTAGATCTACTAAACTGAGGAACTGTGTCCACAATTACATTTTTAATATACTATGACCTGACCACACATTACCCAGGATATCAATTTTTGTAACCTTATTTACAAACATTAAATCACCCCATATCATGTCAATTCTGGAGTTTGATGCGTGGAATCCAGACAACTGTGAAAAATATATATTATATGGATGATACAATCTCCAGATATTAATCAAGTTACAATGGTTAAGTACGTTATTCAAGGATTTTGCTTGTTTCCCTAATCATTTATCTATCTCCTTTAGGTGTTTTTTTTTTTTGTATTATCAAGAATGGGATGCAAATGGAATTAACACCTACTTTAATTTCTTCCCTGTGATCAAGTATTTATTTATTTTTTAACGTTCCTATTGGTGCTGTATCTAGGAGTTACACGTTGACTAGTTTCATGTACAAGTTTTATGGTGTTTTGAAAAGTTACAGGGTCAAATATTCTTAGTGTTTATATTAATATTGTTAGTATATTAGTATATTATATTAATATTGTTAGTATTTATATTAATATTGTTAGTATATTAGTATATTATATTAATATTGTTAGTATTTATATTAATATTGTTAGTATAGTAGTATATTATATTAATATTGTTAGTATTTATATTAATATTGTTAGTATATTAGTATATTATATTAATATTGTTAGTATTTATATTAATATTGTTAGTATATTAGTATATTATATTAATATTGTTAGTATTTATATTAATATTGTTAGTATAGTAGTATATTATATTAATATTGTTAGTATGTATATTAATATTGTTAGTATAGTAGTATATTATATTAATATTGTTAGTATTTATATTAATATTGTTAGTATAGTAGTATATTATATTAATATTGTTAGTATTTATATTAATATTGTTAGTATAGTAGTATATTATATTAATATTGTTAGTATTTATACCTGGAAATTGACAAAATCATTTTCTATACTCCAATTTACCAGTTTTTCAACTTTTTGTGGGGAGGTCACAGGACCTAATATATTAGATACCCATTTCAAATTTGGAAATTTGACGATTAATTTTCTGGGCCTGGGTAATAACATTTCCACTATTATGACATACTATCTTCAAAAGTAGGCAACCAAAGTAATCCAAATAACATATTTTGAGATGTTTCATCTAGCCACTTTATCACAAATACAGGTCCCATTTAGTGATTATACTTTACATTTTTGTTTTTTCAACCACATGAATTCCCTTTTCAAAGGAAATTTCATAATTCTGATAAATGTTAGCTCAATAAAGTTTAAATATTTTGGAAACTTGGAAATTTGACAGTGATCTTCTGGGTCTATGTTGCCTTTGAGACAGTATGGCAGCTCAGGAATGAAAATTACCCCCATGATGGCCTATCATTGTTAAAAGTAGGCATCTCAGGGTATTTTCAGTTGTTTGGTCCAGCCACTTTATAATGGTTGAGGAGAACATAAACAGATACTGGCCGAGGTCAGTGGATCCAGAAATCAGAGTAGTTGGTGAAGTAGAGGCATCTGACAAACAGTAATCAGAGTAGTTGGTGTAGTAAAAGCAGCTGACAAAAAATTTAATCAGGACAAGCCAAGGCCAGGATAACAAAGAGTCACACACAGAGTGTTCTAAATTAATAGTTTAAAACATTTAGACACACAGACCCAGTGTTACATTCGCACAACTTTTAAAATGATTAAATTAAACAATTTAAAACAATTACATTAAAACAAATTGTAATCCATAGCGAGCCACTTTGATGGAATGTCTGAAAAAGAGTCTTCTTGTGACCTTGAAGAGAGACTTCTCTATGCAGATATTTTGGTCATGGGTGTAATTTTCTGAAAAAGTTTTTTCCAATGATCAATTAGGGGTCTCATTTTGTGTAGACTGTCATTCTTGTGGTTATTTCTGGAGAGTGGGGGCAGTGGGTGTTATCATTGAAATGGAGGAAATGGCTAAGCTACTCAGAGAAAGAGGAGTAGCAAGGATGGGGTGCTTATGCCAGTTATTAAGTGTTCTTGCATAGCAAGACCACTTATTGTTATCTCACATATATATTATTATTCTTATTATAGCCAAATTTGCCACCCTAACTCCTCCCACAGTTTTTACACTACATAGACAAAAATTTACCAAAACGTGCAGATTGTTCCCGATCGGATTGCTATTACTTTGTGGAGCGTTTCGCCGAATGGTTCACGGAATATCGTCGTTCTTGTGGCGAAATTTGTCCCATAGGAATGAATGGCAAAGCTAGAGTGGGAGCTGGCAAAAGCTGAAAAATCAGGACATGATTTCTAAACTGCCACCACTCCCTTATTTTCAGGCCCACCTACACAAATCTTATATCAAAACGTTCAGCTATCCCTGCTGCCACTAACCATGTCAACGGCTAAGTCATAGTCCTGATAGTTTTCACAATATAATCATTTGTTTGCAACTAACGCCGTCCATTGACTTTCATTGAAACTTCACTCTGCAAAGCTCAAATTTGAAGTGCAATTTCTAAACTGCGACTGTGCCTTCAATTTTAATACTTCAGAGACATACTATGCATCAAAATGTAGATCTGGGTCTTGTGATTCTCACAATATAAAGCTCTTCGCTGTAGGAGTTATAGTTTTTAAGATACGACCGTTTGAAGATGGCAACCACCAAAATACTCTGACCTGTGTCAAGCTGCAGCAGCAAGTGATGTCATAGACAGGGCCTTTTGAACACCTGCTAATGTTTTTATAAATGTATGGTTTAATGTAACTGTGCAACAACGTTGCAATTAAATGTGCTAAATAAAGTATAACAATTACTCCGCCCACTCCAGTTGTAGACTACTGGTGGAGGCAAGAACACTTTACACAATTTCCCCAGAAATTGTAGCTTTTCTAGTTTCCAATACTCTTTTTTTTCACCAGACTTCTCTCTTAGGGGTTTTTATCTGATGCAGGAAGAGTCACACTGTCAGGTAGATCAAAAGAGTTGCTCTCCTCTTACTCATGCGTCAGCATGGCATAAGCCTTCTCAACCTATCCCCCAATTCCCACTTACACCAAGAGAACACCCAGAACCTAAAAGCGAAAATTAACGACTAATCATAGAATAAAACGCTGCAATAGACCTAAAAGATTAAATTTTTTTGTAAGTAAGACAAAAGATAAAATGCTCTGATACACAACACAACAATCAGAGTGCAGGGAGGGGTTATCAAAAACTAGAAAATGGTTAAAGGGTCACGTTTTTAACAAAAAAATAAAAAATCTAGTCCCCACAATAAAATCAAAGCATACTAGTGTACTGACCACTCTAATTGCAGTATTAGCACTGTGATCAGCAGAGAAATGGTTAAATAGAACAATTAAGAAGGTGGGGTGCCAGACACAGGATCCGCCCTGGGTGCCAAATGCTCTAGGTACGCCCCTGATTGACTGTGACATTGTATCAGTGATCACGGTGATAGACTGTCACTGTAATCACGTGACTCTGGTCGCAACCAATTGGCTGCTGGGGAACTGCCTGGGTATCCAGGCAGTTCCCCAAACTGGAGCCAGTGAGGTGAGTATGATTCGGGGGGATTTAGGGTGATTCGAGGGGCTGAAGGTGCATAGACGTTAGGACCCTAGCGACGTTAAAGCCCATTCCATTCAGGACATAATGACATGTCCTAACAGCTTCAAGAGGTTAAAGGAAAACTAAAAAATACATCATAAAACAAAATATGGAAAGACACCTAAAACCTGTGTTAATCTATTTTACATGTGAGTTTTGGTTTTCTTTTTTATAGAGATTTAGTGAATGACATCACAATCCAATTCATTCCAGGCAGCCAGGGCACACAATGCAAATTAGAAGGAGAAAAAGAAAGCTTGTTTCTCTGTCTTTTCTTACACATATTATGTTTACTGACAAAAAATGGTAGCGCATACAGTTTCAGGACACGGTGTGGATTTCTACTTTTAATTTTATTATTCAAACCTAACAAACACGTGTTTGTTAAATACAGGGGATAAGTAAACACAATATTTAAAAAAAATTCTGGGAAGTCACAATTTACCAAGAACACATAATATGGGTTTAGGTTAATGACAGAGCACTGGTAATGCTAGCATACTAAACACTTATTTTGCATGTTTCCTCTTTCTTAACACAATGAAAACGATGGTATTGTTGCTAAGTAAAAATAACTTTAAGATGCACCATTGTTCTCGTTTTGTGCGCTGTTAATGTGTTATCTAACTAAAGAATATCACTGTCCATAGCAGTGTGCGTCTAATTCAAGCAGAGTGCACGTGAAGATCTACATGACGGTCAAGGCAGTGCATAATACATGTCTTGTACGGCACAGAGGGATGTGCGTGTTTGTATGTACATCCTGTATATAGGTCTTGTCATACTAAAATCTACATAACAAGTAATGAATTGCCCCATCTTTTTGTGGGAATCTTTAAATAAAGCACACGTCCTTTCTAGATATTAAGCATGAAGCTGCGACTCCAGGATTTCTCTTGCTTTTTGTAATGCTGTTTCAGAAGGAACATTAATGTCTGGCAACAGGCCTTTTCCTTCCCAAGAAGCTCCAGGTTCTGCACTAATAGAGCGAGAAGTGGGAATGCTGAGGTACAGGAGCGTATCATCTACATGGTATGTCTGTGGAGGATGGCATCCTCCACTTGTTTTCTCGCCGACAACACTCGCCCTTCCCAGTCGCTTCATTACGTACACAAATTCTTCAGCAGCTCCTTCAGTCACAGAACTGGTTAGGATAACTAGAGGTTTTTTCGACCCATAAGAAGGACCTGTTAAAAAAAAAAAAAAATATTTATGAAACATGTTTAGTGTGGGTGTTTTAAACCTGGTTAGAGTAACCTTTACTGGCATGGCAGCCCACAAAAAACAAAAACAAAAAGCAGAATGGATGTTTTGATGATATCCACCTCTCTGCTTTCTCTCTTCTAAGCAATTAGGACAATAATATGTGTGTAAACATATGTTTTGGATTCCAAAAGGTATTATATAGGAGATTATCATGGTTGGCTGATTCTGTTGACTGGTTTGATTAAAGGGACACTATAGTCACCAGAACAACTACAGCTTAATGTAGTTGTTCTGGTGAATATAATCATTGCCTTTAGGCTATTTAATGCAAACACTGCCTTTTCACAGAAAAGGCAGTGTTTACTTTGTCTCCTAGGGACATATCCAAGTGACCACTCCTCAGATGGCCACTGGAGTTGCTTTCTGGGGCAGTGCTGCACAGTAGGCAGCACTGCCATTCAGCGTCTCCATACTCTGCATGGGGATGATGATAACCAATCAGCACCTCCTCATAGAGATGCATTGAATCAATGCATCTCTATGAGGAGGTGCTGATTGGCTAAAATAGTGTTTGGCCCCGGCGGGGCCAGTGTCGGCGTACCCGTGTGGCCTGGAAATAAGGTTAGTTTTCACCTTTTCTATGGGGGCTGGGGGTGGGAGACACCTACATGGTGGCTTAAACACTATATGGTTAGGAATACATGTTTATGTTCCTGACCCTATAGTGTTCCTTTAAGTTTTCTTGCCAATTTATAGCAATTAGATCCTTATACCAGGAGTTCTGCATCCTGTTGTGATGATCTAGTGTGAGAGTAGCCGATACGCATCTGTTTTAATCTCAGTCCAGTGCTAATTGGGATACAGTGAAGTGAACTTTAGTATGAACCAGGGAAGAGAGGACTGTACCATCCTAGAACAGATCTACTACTCCTCTATTTGACCGCTAGTGACCATGATGGGTAAAAGAACTGGGTTGAAGGGTGGTTATGTGGAATACTGTATATGAAGATCTCAACTGTAAGTTACCAAATCCTGTAGATCTGGCCCTTTCTTACGCAAGATGCTACTAAGGAGCTTGTCCATGCTCTTGTAATTCCTTGCATTGGTCTCTCTCCTAATTGGTCTTCCCAAAAGCCTCTCTTCAGTCTGTAATGAATGCTGCCGCAAGACTGATTTTCCTCTCCAGTCGGTCATCTCACACCTCACTTCTCTGTCAGTCCTTACATTGGCTTCCTGCCACTGGGAAAAGCTCTGCCCAGACCATTGTATGTCATGATTTCAGAAACTGGTTTAGTTTAAACAATCTTTCTTATTAAAGGAACACTCCGGACCTCTAAAGAACTTTAGTTTGCTGAAGTGCTTTATGTGTGAAGACTGTGTCCTCATTTTTCATTTTACAAAAAGTGTAGATTTAAATAGAAAGGGACACTTTTATAAATTAACCTGGTTACAACCCAATTAATCAGACAACTGATCCTGTCACTTCCTTGTAGTCCAGCTCAGTGGAGCTAATGTCAATAGGCAGAAATTGATCAGAGCACCTGCCTTGCAAAGACTTCTCATTGAGCTGCATTGGGAAGTCTGTAATTGGACAGCCTCAGACAGTCGGAAAAGGAGAGCTTGCAAAGATCTGCAGCTCTGGAAACAGTTTTTAGGTGTATTCTCATTGAAAAATGCTTAATTAAATGTATACATGTTTTCATTGGATATTCATTGATATTTTTTATTTTCACTTGGGCAGTAGAGTGAAAAATCCACCTGATGTATTTATATAAATTGTTAAGCAATCCATTGCAGATAGCTCCTGCCAAAGCCTCAATGATTTTAACTTGCCTGCAAGTTGTGGGAGGCTCCATACATCAGTGACGGTATTCGCTGCTCGACTGTACACCTTGTCTAGCAGGATACGTGTCCCTTCATCAAAGAAATATGAACAAAGGGCTGGAATGGAAGAGGTGGGCCCTCCAATGTTGAATCTGTAAAGTGAGTCACAAATTAATGCATATGTTACATATAAATCACGTTAGTTACATAAGTATTTACATCACTGGAGAACCTATAGACCATTGCATTCATGGAACTATCTCCATTTTGTTACACCTTGGCAAAACCGACAAAATATATTGCTTTAAAAATAACATTAATATAAAACTGAAACAAGAAGAGATGGTTAAACAGTACTTTTAACAGAAATATACCTGAAGATTTGTGGTTTCAAATAGTTAATTATACTGTTTAATAATAAGACAATGATTAGCATTTTGCTGCATTGCAATAATAATTACAATTGCAAGGCAATTATTGCCGTTTCTCAGAAACTGCAATAATTACAACATTCTGCCACAATTTACCTCTTTCTGTTTAAGTGCACCCATATATATTATACATAATTTTCGAAAGGAGAAATAGGGTTTTATTTTGATACCCTATATGTATACAATGACCAGCAACAGCATTAAAAACACTGACAGGTGAAGTGAATACCATTGGAACAAAGGAAATAGGGCGCACGTTTAATAAAAATACATAGGTATATGACTAAAAGAATATATACTAAAATGAAATAAAATAAAAATTGAGATAAAAAAGTCCAAGTTGATAGTCCACAAATAAATGAAGAGTGTTCTTTGTAGCGTAATGTTGTCTCTTCCCAGATGATGACTTGTATTTTCAATGAGCCATATGTGGAGAAAAGTAAAAGGACAACCAATGGTACAGTATGTAGATATAGTTGAATATATGTGCAATAAGTTAGAATTACTCACAATTTACTAAATTTACTATAATTCTACTTGAAGAAGCCTGTTGTGGGCGAAACGCGTTTAGAATCTGTTTTAATAGTTTTTATATTGTCATAATAAAGGAATTTTGGCCTCAAATACTTTATTGCCACAATCCTATTTTTATTTAAATATTATTTTATTTTTTATACCTGACTAACCTGAACCAACATGGACTCATGAAAAATCCTTAGGTGGGGATTAAACCACCTATACGCTAAAAAATGAGCATAGAAGAATGCTCAATATATTGTGAGTACATTTCATACTTCTTTTTTATACTTATATCATACAGTGAGCACTATATATTTTTATTTGTTTTAATTCTCGGTCGGTATCTTCGGTGGACCACTTATTCCGCAAGTCACTGCTCCATATATCCTTGAGTGGGGATCATTCCACTTCACGCACTTCGTACCAGAGCTGGATTTTAGCTCTGGAAATTGTGAGTAATTCTAACCCACTTAGATCAAGGCCAAATAGTGATGACTAGATGACCCGGTCAGAGCATCTCCAAAATAGCAAGCCTGGTGGGGTGTTCCCTGTACGCAGTGTTTAGGACCTATCAAAAGTAGTATAAGGAAGGACAACCGGTGAACTGATTGTGGATCATCATGGCCACCCAAGGCTCATTGATACACATGATGATCGAAGTCTAGCTCATCTGGTCTGATCATACATAAGAGCTACAGTAGCTCAAATTACTGAAAAACTTAATGCGGGCCATGATAGGAAGCCGTCAAAGCACACAGTGCACTGTATTTTGCTGTGTACGGGGCTGCTTAGTCGCAAACCAATCCCGAGTGCCCATGATGCCCTGTCTATTGGCTGATGAATAACGTTTTCTTCTGGTGGATGGAGGGCTGTATGTGCATGTCCTGGGGAAGAGTTGTCAGCAAGATGCACTGAAGGCAGAAGAAGAAGAAGACTTCTAATAAATGGTAGAAGCACTATTTGCGCAGACTCTATTTTTTTCTGTTTGGTTCTCTAGAGGCAGAAGAATGCAGGACTTAAATGATCTGCTTCTAATGTCTTCGTGCCAGATACCACAGGAGACGTTCAGAGGTATTGTGGAGTCAATACCTCAACGCATCAGATCTGTTTTGGCAGCACAAGGGGACTTACGCGATATTAGGCAAGTGGTTTTAATGTTGTGGTTGATCAGTGTACATAATGCAATATTACATTGAATTTAAAAAAAAAAAAAAATACATTTAAAAAAATCAGTTTTACTATGACAAATTTCTACACACAAAATCCAACTAAAGAAAACTAATTAGTTCTGATTGTTAAAATTCCCAATCTGCTTAGTTCAGTTAATTTTTAGAAGTTGCAAAATAAATACTGAAAGGAGTGAATCAAGGTTTTACTTCGCAAAATTTGATATGCTGAGATGACAAGATTTTATAATAGTCACAGAATGCAAAATTGCTAGACAAAAGTATATATTTTTAGTGAGCACATCCCCTAGGCCAGTGATGGCGAACCGATGGCACGCGTGCCACAGGTGGCACGCCGGGCCCTCTCCACGAGCACGCTGCCATAGGTCGCTATCAGTGCAGAGTAGGCACCTGCCTGCCCAAAACGGCAGGCGCCTACTCTGCTTCCGTGTCGGGAGGACCCGGAAGCAGGGGAGGGATCTGAGAGGCAGCCCTCCTGTCCTCCCGCAAACAATCTGTGTGGAGCGTTGCCGCACGTTACGATGGCAACACACCACACAGCATTCTGCGCGCGGGAGGACAGGAGAGCCGCAGGACCTGTCCCTCTTACCACCACCGGATCACCAGGGCTGGCTGTGTCCATCCTCCTTCACCAAAAGTAAGAAGGGAGGGGGGGATACAGATTGTATTAATATATTTGCAACAGCACCCCCGCACACACACACACATAAGCACCCCGCCACATACACACAGTACCCCCCCTACCCCCCCTCACACACACAGCACCCCCCACACAGCACCCCCTCCCCAGACACACAGCACCCGCCCCACACACACAGCACCCCACACACACAGCACCCCCACACACACACACAACACCCCCTCCAAACACACAGCATCCCCCCACACACAGCACCCCCCGCCTCCCACAAACACACAGCACCCACACACACAGCCTGGGTGGACTTCAAACCCCCACCCGCACCAACAAAATGGCCATTATGTATGTGCTGGGAGGGAGAGGGGGATATACTGGGGGAAAATATTGTGTGATGGTTTTGATTGTTTTCTGATAAAAATGTTTGTGGTATGAATCCAGACCTACTGGGAACAATATGAGAGGATTATAGAATTTGAGGGGGGGAGCAGGTCATTATTATAATTGTAGAAATGCTATATATCCAATACTGTTTTCTTATCTTTAACTTCAGTAAATGTTCTTTTTTTCTGTGCATCAAAAATACATTTTGTTTTCAATAACTAAAGTGCGAATTATGCACACTGAATCAAAAATACATTCACAGATTATTTCCACAAACAACAGTTCTTGAAGGCATTTTTTGGCAAATCTCTAGCTATTACAATACTATACCAACTCGGATATTAAGACAGGGGGGTGGAAAGTTAAAATGATAAAGAGGTGACTGACCGGAAGTTCAAAATGATGGAGTAGAGTACAGAAAGGTACATAGAAAGACAGAGTTAAAACAAAAATATGCTAATTAAGTGAGACATAAGATGGGCTAAAAAATGACAAACAGTGGGAGGCAGAAAACATGACATAAGACTGAAAGAGAGATAAAATAGCAACACATTGATATATTGGGAAATAGACTGTAAATCAGACCAAGGGATGAGATGGACATTTGGCTTTTTATTCACATGGTGATCAATAGCAGTTTGATACCCCTTTGCTAGTGCAGGTATTTACCTGTAATTTGCAACTCACAAATGTATCTTCATTATTCTTGTATGCTGCTAAAACAAAATTGTAAATGTTTTTTAGGCTCAAAAGAAGGCATTTTATGCTACGTACCTCATATCAACAATTAAGGCATCTGTGCCGACAATCTTGTTCCAGACATGCTCGACAAGCAGATGTGAAACTTGATTAAGAAGATCACAGTCAGCAAACATGTCAAATCGCATGTAACCAATGTTCTTATTAAACACATCAGTCTGGAAGGAAAACTTGATGAGGTCCTCAAACATCTCTGGAGATGGGATCTGAAAAGTCAAAGTCAAAAGAAACACTTGAGCTATAGCAGATTAAAATACAAAAAATGTTTTATTTCAGGGTCTGTGTTATGAGAGTTGCCATCAAAACGAATGGCAAGCCATGCTAAATAAAAGAGGTTAATGAGGAACTGTCACTTAGAATTTTTAATATTATGTTTATGTATCCCTTAACAAATATGTATTTGTAGGATGAGAAATTTTATAATAAATGTAGAAAACCATATCTGTTTATCCCATAACTGGATCTTTATGAATCATCAGTGGCGGAACTACCGCGGTCGCAGGGGTCAGAACTGTGACCGACCCGTCGCTCTAAGGGGCATGGCCGCCCTGTGGACCCCTGCAACTGGAGAGCCTGTCGGCCATGTAATGCGCACGTTCAAGGCCCATCGTGTGACCCATGCGGTTAGGGCCACCCAATGACAATGGAATTTCCAGGGGGCCTGGTCAGCGCTGTGACGATTTAAGAGCGCATCAGGGCCCCCTGTGATGAGGTCAGAGCTGGGAAGAAATTACTGCCCCAGTGATTTCCTGCCAGCAACCATGAGAGCCGTGCGGGAGGAGGAGCCAGCCACTGGACCCCAGGGGAAGTCACCCTCCTGCACCTAAAAGGAAACAGGAGGGTGACTAAAACATTTTGCATGTGTGTGTGTTTGTGTATCTGTGTATGTATGTATGTATGTGTATGCATGTATGTATGTGCATTTGTATGTGAATGTATGTATGTATATGTATGTGTGTCTGTATGTATCTGTGTCTGTTTGTATGTGTTTGTCTGTCTGCTTGTGTGTCTGTATGTGTATCGGTATGCCTGCATATCTGTATGTCAGTGTGTGCCCTATGTATCTGTATGTGTGTCACTGCTTGTATCTGTATGAGTGTCATTCTGTGTATCTGAATGTTTGTCCTTAAGTGTCTGTGTATCTGCATGAGTGCCTATAAGTGTATCTGTCTGTATGTGTGTCTGTGTATCCGCATGTGTGTTTGTATCTGTAGGAGTGTCATTCTGTGTATCTCAATGTGTGGTATTCTGTGTGTCTGTGTATCTGCATGTGTGTCTATATGTATAAATGTCTCTGTGTATATGTGTGTTTGTGTGTCTGTGTATTTGCATGTGTGTCAGTGTGTGTATCTGTGCTTCTGTATCTGTATGTGTCTGTGTATCAGCATGTGTGTCCGTGTATATATCTGTATGTGTTATATGGTGTGTAACTGTGTGTCTGTCACTGTGTGTTTGTCTGTTTATATGCATGAGCTTCAGTGTATGCATATGTGTGTCTGTGTAACTGTCACCCCACCACACACTGTCACCCCTCTTCACCCTTCTCCAATCCTGTCACTCACCCATGTCATACTCACCTCCCATCGCTCTGCCATATTCATCCTATTACACTCACCTTATCTAGCACTGTCACACTCACCCCCCCAATACTGTCACACTCATTCTCCATCAATCTGTCACACTTGCCCCCTTTCACACTGCCACACTCACCATATCACATTAACCCGTCCAATTCTGTCATACTCATCCACTCCAACTATGCCACACTCACCCTGTGAGGCTTGAATGAAACACATGGAGGGGCTGAGGGGCATGAATGTGACAAATGGAGGGGCTGAGGTGGGGGTGGGGGATGTATTTTTTTTTTTTGCACAGGCATCCCCTGGTTTCTAGTTACGTCTCTGTGAATCATTATATCTGTTCTGCTATTATTTATTGTTTTCTGACCTAGATTATGATGCTAAATCGTTTGCATAAACTTAGAACAAAACAGTGATTTTAATGAAAAAATGTTTTAATGCAAGTTATAAGTGATTTTCAATGTTTTATTTTATGGAGTTAACTTCAGAAAAGTGCCTCAAAATTAAACAGTGGCTTTTCATACCAGTGACCACCACCGTGTACAATGAGTAGACAAAACATACATGTGAATGATGAAAAATTTGGGATAAGAGTGAGTCAACCCCTAAGAAGCAATGTATGAGAGGTTAGTCAATAGAAGCACAAAAGAGAAGGCAGGTGATCATAGTTGACAAAGCAAAGTTGTTGAAATAGGCTGAATATTGTAATCATTGAATACAATTCCACTGGTAAATCCTGGATGACCAATTTGTTCGAGCATAGACTGAAAAGAATTTGATTTGTTCACACCAGCAGAAACAAATTTGTGCACAAGTCTAATCGATGGTACTTAATATTTAGACCTATTGTAATTTTGACTGTACTGATATAATTTTGGGTACAGATTTTGAGAGCATTGTGGTTAAAATCAATATTATAATGTCAAATTGGTCTGGTATGCCTATTGCAACACCCAGGAGTGAGGGAGTCTGACTTGTAGTGGAATGTCTCAAACTGGATATGGGCAGAAGTTTCACCAAATACTCTGCCTGAAACTAAAGTGGTTTGGTTTGCACCTAAAATTAGGTGCAATGGGGTCCAGGAGTCAGTTCACTTGAAAAGGCTTTTATATATCCTGATAGTTTATCCAGGATGGATGTGGATACAGTGTCTGCCGACAGCCAGAGATTACAGTTTATGCAACACTGTATCCACATCCATCCTGGATGGTCCCTGCGTTTTATCTGATACAAGGACTGCTAAAGTACTGGTAATATTCTTGCAATACGTTCCTGACTCATATTTTTAATTATTGTTAATATTTGAATATATATTTTTAGTATTTTTTAATATGCCCATTAAACTTTGTATTCATTCTATTTACTTATTTTTCTGAATACTTTTTTATTATCACTCTACGTGATACGGTTATTTACAGTCACATAACCGTATATTCATTATACGAAGTTTCTATTTCTATTTTTACTTTTTATTTTCTGTCACTAAGTATGATATTTGGCACACAATTTGCCTCACTCTATTAGTCGCAGATTTAAAGACACATACATTATATATAACTGTGATAACTTTTTATTACAAATAGGAAACAGTTCCTCATACTGTTTTCCTATATCCTTTTTTACAGTTTCCATCTTTGAGTTTAAAGTAGATTATTTTGGTGTGTAGCAAGTTTGACTTAAAGCCATACACCCCATATATGCAAGTGCTGTATTTTTCCTAAACTATCAGGATATATAAAAGCTTTTTCAAGTGAACTGACTCCTGGACCCCATTGCACCTAATTTCAGGTGCAAACCAATATTATAATGTATCCAACATATTTTGGAGTGCACTACAAATGGAAATATAAAAACAAAATAATGCATTATGACTTTTTAAAGGTTATAAGAAACCAGATGTGGGGAAAGCTTGGCACAAATAATATCCTATCTCCTTCCGTTCAGCCACTGATTATACGTAATGCAAAGGACCAAAGCTACTGCACTTTAGTGTTGTTTATGGATTCACACTAGCATTTTCTAAAGCACCAAAATATTCTGCAGCACTGTGTAATTGGGGAAAAAGAGAGTACAATACACACAGACCATTTTAAAAGGCAATGAGGTCCCTGCCCATGAGCTGAGATCTATCCATTGAAACTCTTTCCTATAAAGTACTTATCCTGTGATCTTGCAATCTAAAAAATTAAATAGGCAGTTGAAACAAGGGGTAGCAGGGGGAATTTAGAGGTGACGGCCAGAGAGAATTAAAACATAAGAGCAGATATCGGTAACACACAAAGGGATTGAGGGGGTAATTGAGTAAGATCTCAAGCAGCAGGAGTAGCATGCCATAAAGTTCGAAGATACCAGGGTGTCAAAATCAGAAATCTAGGATTAGGTTTTCATTTGCTATTAACGTGTGTGAAACTTTAAGTGTGTACTTGTTGACTGTTATTCCTGCTAACCATGACTAATTATATTTTATCATTGGTTTGGAGTAGCTTAGCAATTATTTTGCTCATCTTACCTGCATTGGCACTACTCCTGGGATACGATCTTTGGAATTTTCAGGTATATATAAGGCCTTTAGGTGAACATCTCCAGAGAGAGTTTGCAGGTCATAATTAAGTTTCTCAGCCAACTCTACCTCAGATTTTATCATTTTGTAGTCCTTCTTCTCCACCAGAGACAGAAGTTTGGATGCTACCTCAGCTCCTGTTTCTGCAAATGCATAGTTATCTGCTACCAGCTTTCCTGCTGTCTGAATAATAGAGGGAATTTTAGAGCGGAGATTGATAATACGGTGGGCAACACTCATGGCCTCATTGGCTTGGATGATGATGTGAGGTTCAACTCCAGATACACTCCATACTTTTCCAGTCACTGAGCTGATTACCACTTGGTTAGGGATTGACACATAAAGATGGCTGTCCTCCACTCTGTACATGCCCACAGACAGTGAAACACCTCCTGTTGGCTCCCCAATGATGGTAGCTCTGTTTAAATCCTTCATAGACCTTGTAAAGGCTTCAGCTGCAGATCCTGTCATATGACTAGTAAGTACATATATGTCCTTAGTGGAACCATATCTTTGACCAGCCACCACTGGCAATGTCCATATCTCAGTGCCTTTGGAAGTGCTACGGTCATATACAGTATACAGATGTTGGAGAGGTTCTGGCTCAAAGAAGTATGAGCAGAATATAGGTATAGCATTGGAGTACCCTCCTGTATTAAATCTCATGTCAATTATTAAGAAACTTGTGTCCACCAGCTTGTTCCAGACCATACTCACAAGCTGAGGACCAATAGCTTTTATGATTTCTGAATCAGCCATCATATCAAATCGCAAATATCCAATATTTCCTGGAAGGACGTCAATCTTAAATAGTGCATCAATTATATAGCTGAGCTCTTCAGGTGAGGGGATTTTGGGTGGCTGGTCTTCCAAAATCTCTGGTTCTATGTCACTGTAGAATACGTGCAATCGGTGATCACCTGAGATATCTTGCATATCAGAGGTAAGCTGGGATGCAAGAGACTCTAGATCCACTACTGAGCGGTATCCGCCTTCAGACCATTTACTTTTAATTATGCTGCTGACTTTGTTAGCCACCTCAGGAATGGCATAATGGACTTCAAGGAGCTGACCAGTGCCTTCTACCAAAGCACCAACATCTGGGTGAAATGCAATAATTTCTTTAGCTTTGTCTAATGCTTCTTCAGCCAGGACAATAGCATCTGGGACTACTCCACCCCCAAGCCAGCAATCACCATTGTTATCAATAAAGTTTATTATTGGCACAGTAATAGTCAATTGTGTACCTTCTAGATTAAATGATTTGGAATGCATAAGGGTTCCTGAGGTTATTTCACCAATGATTGTTGCTCTGCTTAAAGATTGCATGAGGTAAGCAAATTCCTCAGCAGCTGTGGCAGTTCGGTGGCTTGTTAATACATAAACTCCTCTTTTAGAGCCATATGGATTTCCAAGCAGATTAGGAATACTGTAGAATTCCTTGGTTGAGTTTAGCAACTGATCATGCAAAGTGAACAGGCGTATCCTAGTTTCTGGTTCTTGAAAGTAGGACAGCAGCACGGGGACTGCAGCAGATGGGCCTCCAGAGTTATATCTCAAATCTATAATGAGGTTGTCTGTGATGGTGATGGGATCCCATACTTTGTTTACAATGTAGGGTCCTAATTTAGCTAGAATAGAGGCATCTGCAAACTCATCAAAACGTAGGTAGCCAATATTCCCTGTTAGGATGTTCACTTTGAAGACTGTGTCAACCAAGCCTTGGAGAAATGATTCATCATCTGGTAGATTGTCAGACACTGGGAAATCCTGTGGGATAACTGGTGTGTCAGCCCTGCTTTTCAGCACCAGTCTTGGGTCATCTGTAACAGACTGGAGTTCATAATTAAGCTTGGCAGCAAGATCATCCTCAGATATAACTGGAGCATAGTCCATGTTTGAAAGATGCTTTATCAAAGCGGGGACACGGTCAGAGAAAGCATATTTTTTTTTGAGAATGTCTTTAAGCTGTTCAAGAACACTGGGAATTTTTGAGCGAACAGACAGAATAGCCAGAGCTTTATTCAGTGCATCCTCTGCATTCACTACCACACAAGGAAAAACACCAGCTACCTCCCAGCTCTGTCCAGTTAGTGGACTAATAGACCGAGACACGGGAACAGTAATATAAAAATCCGACTGGCCAATCCTTATTTTCTGTATATCCAGTGACCCTCCTGCTGTTTTTTCTCCAACAATGATTGCTCTATTAACATGCTTAAGGATATATGCCACATCCTCGGCTATGCCCTGAGTGTGTCTGCTTGTTAATACCACTACATCTTTATCTTTTCCATAACGCTCACCCATTGTTGCAGGTAATGTCCTCAGTTCCATGGTGGTATTGGATGGGCGATTATAAATGGTATCAATATGGATGACAGACTCACACTCACACAAGTAGGACACGACAAAAGGAATCCCGGAAACCTTACCTTGAGTACTATATCTAAAGTCCAAGATAAGAGCTGAACTCGGCATCAGTTTCTTCCATATATTATTGACCAGGAAGGGACCAATTTTCTGTACTACATCTTGACCTATGATGCAGTCAATTCTAAGGTAGCCAATGTTACCAGGCAAAAGCTCATACTTTATAGAATGATCCACTAGGTATTGCAGCTGCTCTGGAGAAGGAATTGTTTCTTCTTCCTGTTTCACTACATGGTGTGATGGTTCATAAGAAATTACCAGACGTGGGTCGTTTAATGAGCCTTGAACCCCAGCAGTGAAGACACTTGCTAAGGTGTACGGATCTGAGACATGCAGCATCTCCCCGCTTTTGATGGCCTGTTCTATGGTCTCTTGCATTCCAACCAGGTTCTCTGGGAAACAGTAATTATCAAGAAGTATTTTAGCCATGTCCAATACCAAGGAAGGCTGAAAAACAGGATTACTGAGTGCATGGCAAAACAAAAGGACAAATGCTAGTGTTTGACACCGCGGAGCCATATTGAAAACAGCCCCACAGGGAATGCCACAAAATTTATCAGAAGAGACGCTCGTTGTCTAACAGCCAGTATCAGTCGCTGACAATGAAGAATTAAACAGGGAACAGCCAAAACCTCCTTTTATCCTTATTAAACCTTTAATCCCATTAATAAATGGTTTGCATCAGCATAAGAACACTGCTCGGAAAACTCTGTTATGCTTTAAGTGGAACAGGTCTTAAGTAACACTCCAGATATATATATATGTATATATATGTGTATATATATATATATATATAGAGAGAGAGAGAGAGAGAGAGAGAGACAGAGACAGAGAGAGAGAGAGATTTAGTGTTTTACATTTATTGTACAAGTTTACAGATAGTACAAATTAAAACAAAGATTCCTTATAAAAACAACATTCTCAATTTATTATGCAAAACATATTCCACAACAATTTAAAGTAACACTGTCACGCTGTACTTACCCTTTTCCAATCTCCCCCCCTTTCCTACTCTGTCTTTTGTTTCCTCTAATTTCAACTGTTGCTAACTAAAAACAGAAGACAAAGTGGTGACTACTTTGTCTTATGTAGTTTTCCTACAACTGACGCTTCTTGACACTGAGTGGAGCTTGATGGCTTCAGGGAATTGGCTGCATCCATCAGTCTCGCAGGATCCTCTAAAGACCTCAATGCTGTACTCTTGCGCATGTGTGAGTGTACAGCAGTGATGTTGGCTTCTGGTGCTGCAGCAAGAAGAGTATGGGCCACAAGAGTAAGGTGGCAACCGCGAGGGACAGGTTCAGGTAGGTAGAACTAACCTTTGCTGCCCCTGCCCAACCAGTGGACTGCTAGCGGCGATGTCACCTTAAGGGGTCTTGCAAATTATGCAAAGTCCACAGATGGTGACAGTGCCACTTTAAGTGCCAAATTATCACTCAATGGTTAGCAGCCAATCAGATAAAACTGAAAAAAAGCTCTTTCTTGTTTCATGTTCCATAATTTTTGATTGCTGAACTGGACTGGGCTGTATAACTTTGAAAAAATTATGGATATATATCAGTGGCAGATTCAGAGCCTGATCTTGGGAGGGAGACCTGTAGATTATTTAAAGAAATAATCTATGCACAATAACCACTACAGTTCTGTGTAGTGGTTATGGTGCCAGGTGTGCCAGACCCCCTCCCAGAGTAAGTAGTCAAACCGTTTAAGAACAGTTTGACAACTTACCTGGGGTCTGCTGTGTTGTTCATGTTGCAAACTTATACAACAATTGTTTAAATACATTTTTTTAACTTCAATCTACACTCAATGCCCCATAATGAAAAAAAAAAAAAAAAATGAAATAACTTTTTTTTTTTTTTTTGCATACAAGGGTTTAGATCCCACAGGTCCCTAGTCAGATTACCAGTTTGGGGCCCTTCTTCATTCTTCACATAGGCATGGAAACGTACACACCTGTTTATTATATACAATCTCACAGCTGTAAATACATATCAGAGCAAAAACCAAGTCATGAGATTACAGGAACTGCCTGCAGAGCTTGTAGGATTGTGTCCAGGCACAGATCAGTGGAAGGTTACAAACAATTTCATCTGTATCGAAGGTTCCCAAGAGCACAGTGGCTTCCATAATTCTTAATTTGGAGAAGTTTGGAACAACCAGGACTCTTCCTAGAGTTGGCTGCCAGGCCAAACTTTGCAATTAAGGCCTATGTAAAAGAGTTGACCAACAACCCAATGTTCACTCTGTGCTACAAAGATCATGTCACAAAATGGGAGAAACTTGTGCAAGGACAATGACTGCAGAACTCTTCTAATTTGACCATTATGGCAGACGGAAGCCTCTAATCAATGCAAGACCAATGAAAGCCAAGTAAATTTGTAATAAAGCAACCAAAGAGCTATCAGAAACAAGATTCTCTGGTCTGATGAAATGAAGATTTTAGGCTTCAATTCAAAGCATCATGTCTGAGGGAAACCAAGCACTACTCATCACTTGCAGGTGTAGAACTCAGTTTTATTATGGGCTGTTGAGTGTAGGTTGATGTGAAAAAATACATACATTTTAAAAATTGTAGCATAACACTGCAACATAAAAAGTGTGAAAACAATAAAGGGGTATAAATACATCCTGAATGCACTATATATGTACATACACTGATCAGCTACAACATTAAAACCACTGGAAGGTGAAATGAATAACACTGATTATATTGTTACAATTGCACCAGTCAAGTGGTGAGATATATTAGGCAGCAAGTGGACTGTAGGTTCTTGAAATTCATGTGTTAGAAACAGGAAAAATGGGCAAGTGAAGAGACCTGAGTGACTTTGACAAGGTCCAAATTGTGATAGACGGCAGGGTCAGAGCATCTCTGAATGGTATCTTGTGGAGTATTTCCGGTATTCAGTGGTTACCAAAAGCGGTGCAAGTGTTTCTGGTATTCAATGGTTACCACTAAATGAGTATAAGGGTGATGAGCACCCAAGGCTCATTGATGTGATTGGGGAGTGAAGGCTAGCCCATCTAGTCTGATTACACAGAAGGGCTACTGAAATTCAAATTGCTGAAAAACTACATATTGGCCATGATAATAGAAAGGTGTCAGAACACAGAGTGCATCACAGTTTCCCTTTTTTTTTTTTTTATTAGGTAAATGGCTAGATGAGCGTACGTCGTTTAACTGGGTATAGATGACAGCAGGAAGAAGGCAAGCCAGCAGAGGCAGTGTTACCTTTGGTCCTGGCATTCATGTTGATGTTATTTTCTCACATACCACATACCTTTCATGGCAATGGTGCTCCTCTTTCAGCAGGATAATGTACCCTGCCACAATACAAAAATTGTTCAGGAATGGTTTGAGGAACTTGACAAAGAGTTGTTGCCTTGTCCTCCAAATTCCCCAAATCTCAATCTGATTGAGCATCTGTGGGATGTGCTGGAACGACAAATCTGATCCGTGAAGGCCCCACCTTGCAACTTGCAGGACTTAAAGGATCAAAGGCAGAGTACAGAATATTTGATAGAGGAACATCTGAGGAAAGGGATTTAGGGGTGATTATTTCTGATGACTTAAAGGTGGGCAGACAATGTAATAGAGCAGCAGGAAATGCTAGCAGAATGCTTGGTTGTATAGGGAGAGGTATTAGCAGTAGAAAGAGGGAAGTGCTCATGCCATTATACAGAACACTGGTGAGACCTCACTTGGAGTATTGTACACAGTACTGGAGACCGTATCTTCAGAAGGATATTGATACCTTAGAGAGGGTTCAGAGAAGGGCTACTAAACTGGTTCATGGATTGCGGGATAAAACTTACCAGGAAAGGTTAAAGGATCTTAACATGTATAGCTTGGAGGAAAGACGAGACAGGGGGGATATGATAGAAACATTTAAATATATAAAGGGAATCAACACAGTAAAGGAGGAGACTATATTTAAAAGAAGAAACACTACCACAACAAGAGAACATAGTCTTAAATTAGAGGGGTAAAGGTTTAAAAATAATATCAGGAAGTATTACTTTACTTAGAGGGTAGTGGATGCATGGAATAGCCTTCCAGCTGAAGTGGTAGAGGTTAACACAGTAAAGGAGTTTAAGCATGCGTGGGATAGGCATAAGGCTATAAGACTATAAGATAAGGCTAGAGGCTAATGAAAGTATTTAGAAAATTGGGCAGACCAGATGGGCCGAATGGTTCTTATCTGCCGTCACATTCTATGTTTCTATGTTTCTCTATCTTATCTCCCAGCTGGTTATTGCTTTAAGCTATATACTTAACACCTGGCAGATAAAGAGATAGCGTGAGAATTGTTGAGAATTCAAAGTGCATTTTAAATTTAAGGCCAAAATACTTGAACTGGAAGCATTGCTGACTTGGAGAATGCTTCCAGGTTGGCTATTGTGCCCTTAAAGGGACACTCCAGGCACCCAGACCACTTCTGCCTATTGGAGTGGTCTGGGTGCTAAACTGCAATATTTACCCTGCAGGGTTAAGTCCTCCTCTAGTGGCTGTATATTAGACAGCCACTAGAGGGACTTCTGTGTTCTTAAAACACGAAAAGTGTTTTAAACGACGCTGGGCGTCCTCACGCTATGCATGAGGACCTCCAGCTTCGCCGGAATCCCATAGGAAAGGATTGAATAATGTTTTCCTATGGGGAGGTCTAATGCACGCGTGCTGCTACTGCCACACATGCACATTAGGTCTCCCCCGCCAGCTGACGTCGTGGGGTGGATGAGAGTGGGCGGAGATTCAGGTAAGTCAGGTTTTAACCCCTTCAGCAATATGGGATGGGGTGTGGGAGGCAGAGGGGCACTGCAGGGTCCTGCAGTGCCAGGAAAACGGAAAACAGATATGTTTTCCTGGCACTGGAGAGTCCCTTTAAATCTAAAAATCACTTTGCATTTCTGACATTAGGGAATGTCCCTGAACATTTCTCTTTCTCCTCACAACATTTTAAATATTTGCCATGACTTTGCCTTGTCTAAACTGGATTATCTCATGAAAAACATTACAAGTGTTTTTCAGTACTTTATTAAAACTGATTACCTCATGAAAAACATATACAGTAAGTGTTTTTCAGTACATTATTCTATGATTTAATTTAGTTAAGAGACTGTTTACCTTTTAATAAAGAGTTGCTACATTATTATTCACACAGGCTATGTTCTGCGAGTTGTGGGTTTATGATATAGAACACCTGTATCAACAAATGTGCATCCAGATGTGTACTTTTACATTTTAGGCCAGGGCCACCAGTCACCTGGTCCACTAACTGTGTCACTTTCCCTTACCTGATATGATTCCATTGTGTGTCAAGACCTCATGTCACAAATAGTGACCCATGTGACAATGCTATCTCCATAGCATTTTTACCTTTGGGTGCCAACCTAACGTAGACTTGACAACCCTGCCCCTTTGGCCATTTGCCTCAACATGATTGACTTTGCTTTTCTCTAGGGTCACCTTGTCTAATGACAATTGTATCTCAGCTGCATGTAGAGATTTAGGCTGTTTCCAGATGTAATCTTCACAAGGTAGAACTCTAGACTTACCAACCAATGTGTACGGGCTATATGAGCATAGCAAAACTATAAGGTGGTA